TGTACCACTTTTTCGACGTCAGTACTCTACTACTTCCGGAGTTATCCTTATAAATTTAATTAGGGGGTTGTAAAGACGTGCCGGCACCCCCCATATTGAATTGTTTGGTCCAAATCAGTCCCATTGGTTTTGACTAAGTAAGTGCTTATTTGTACTCTTTGTCCCATCGTTATTATTATTTACTAGTAAAAAAAGTTAGGTATAAGCCTTTCTTACAAGGGGATGATCTGGAATCCTAAAACGAGGACAGGTGGACTACAGTCCACAGAGTTTTATCGGAAATTGCTTGAGGTTGGTTGGTAAAAGTAATCAAAAGGTGTCCATAGGTGTCTCGTAGTTTTTAGGTTCAAATAACTTACTTGCATGAGTTTGATTATAAAATTTACGTGATCGTAATTATTGTGAAAATCAAAATTCTCAAATATACGTTTTTATCTTGCAAAACTATTAGAAATAACTAAATGGCGTATGTGGATCATTTTCACTTTTACTGAAAAAATTCGTATCCCTAACTGTTAAATCAAAAACCAAAACGAAAACATTTTTAAAAAAGTTAGCCAAGGAAATACGTAATACGCTTGATTAAACAACTTAAAAATCAAAATAGACCTTAAAATGTAGTAAAACACTTGGTTAAAGATTGGTTTGGACTAAGTTAGTGCTTATTTGTACTCTTTGTCCCATCGTTATTATTTCTTTGCTCATAAAAAAATTATAAGCCATCCTTACGAGGGGATGCAGGCTCTGGTATGCCTAAAACGAGGACAGCCCCTACAGTTTTATCGGAAATTGCTTGTGGCCGAAAGGTAAAAATGATCCATAGCCCATAGGCCATGAGTGTCCATTAATTATTTCTCGTAGTTTTGTGGTTCCAATAACTTAACTGTAGGAGTTTGATTTTAAAATCCACATAATCATAATAAAATTTGAATATACTTGAGACAGGGGAAGCGTTTTTAGTTTCATTTTTCAACCCATACAGTTGTCTCACATTAGAAGCATTTTCTTTTGGCTCATGACAATTTAATATTATTTTTAATATGATAATAGTAATATAATTTTTTGAGCTAATTAATTCTCGGCCAGGTTCAACTTAAGGGGACTGTTTATTCACCAAACGTTTCGGTTTAGGCCCCTCTAAAATGTACTCCCAGAGTCGGGGGGGGACCTCGAATCCTCCCCTTGTGTATTTTGGAAAACGTTTAGTTTTTGTAACAAGTTTCTGAAACTCAAGATTTGGGTAGATTAGAAGTCGATGATCAAATTCGGTAACTTGTATCGTGCCCGTAGGAGCCGTTTTTTCCCCGTATTTAGGGCGTCGAAAGTTCTAAATTGCCGATTTTTCAATGTCCCTGACCGCTAAACTTAATATAGGCTGTAAGCCTTATATTGTGTATTTTTTAATGAACGTAAAATCTTATAATAAATATTTTTAAAAGTATTTTGGATAATAATACTTAAAATAAAAATAGTTATTAATTTTTGCTGCTATAAGGTGTTTTTAGTTTACTTACATAATCATGGCAATATTGTAAAACCCAAAGTTTCCAGATTTAATTTATTCGAGACTAAAAAGTAATAGGTTTCGCTAAAAAGTAAAAACATTAATAAATCATATTTACCTATATAAAAATGAATCCAATTAGAAACCGTTGAAAAATATAAACAAGAAAATTAATAAAAACTCAAAAAAATATGAAACAAATAGATACTGTTTTTGAATTCAGTCGTCTATGGATAAGTATTATATTGAGTAAAAATCTCATAAATGTACATATGAGTTTTAGGAAAATGAGGCACCTACTACCTACCTAAATTATTATGTTTTATGTAGATTTTTTTAACTTATTAGGCCAGAATGGACGAATAGGAAATAAGTTAGTGTGGATTTGGTTAATGAAGTAAAATCCTATGAGAATTGATAGCCAGTAAGTACCTATATTGTATAGTGTCAACTGTCACTAACTTAGTCCAAACCAATCTTTAACCAAGTGTTTTACTACATTTTAAGGTCTATTTTGATTTTTAAGTTGTTTAATCAAGCGTATTACGTATTTCCTTGGCTAACTTTTTTAAAAATGTTTTCGTTTTGGTTTTTGATTTAACAGTTAGGGATACGAATTTTTTCAGTAAAAGTGAAAATGATCCACATACGCCATTTAGTTATTTCTAATAGTTTTGCAAGATAAAAACGTATATTTGAGAATTTTGATTTTCACAATAATTACGATCACGTAAATTTTATAATCAAACTCATGCAAGTAAGTTATTTGAACCTAAAAACTACGAGACACCTATGGACACCTTTTGATTACTTTTACCAACCAACCTCAAGCAATTTCCGATAAAACTCTGTGGACTGTAGTCCACCTGTCCTCGTTTTAGGATTCCAGATCATCCCCTTGTAAGAAAGGCTTATACCTAACTTTTTTTACTAGTAAATAATAATAACGATGGGACAAAGAGTACAAATAAGCACTTACTTAGTCAAAACCAATGGGACTGATTTGGACCAAACAATTCAATATGGGGGGTGCCGGCACGTCTTTACAACCCCCTAATTAAATTTATAAGGATAACTCCGGAAGTAGTAGAGTACTGACGTCGAAAAAGTGGTACAGGATATCAGTAGCAAACTACTAAAGATTGGCTCATTTGGAGATCCAATATTTTGAATCGGGGCTGCATTATGGCTCCATACCACCCCCTCCCACTAATGATCCCCTGTAGTTAATTAGGGGTTGCAGCACAAACGATGAAACTCGAGCACAATCCAGCACAAACGTAGCACAAACGAATGGCATAATTTAAATTTGAAAATTTGGAGGTGGGGGTGTAGCCATTTCGCTGGCACCCCCACTAAAGATCCGTTCTAGCTCATTAGGGTTTGCAGCACAAACGATGAAACTCGAGCACAAACCAGCACAAACGTAGCACAAACGAATGGTGTAATTTAAATTTTAAAATTGTGAGGTGGGGGTGCAGTCGTTTCGCTGGCACCCCCAATCATTATCCCTTATAACTCTTTAAGGGTTGCAGCACAAACGATGAAATTCGAGCACAATCCAGCACAAACGTAGCACAAACGATAGCCCTTGGTTTGAATCCGAAATTCTGAGGTGGGGGTGCAGTCGTTTCGCTGGCACCCCCAATCGTTATCGCTTATAACTCCTTAAGGGTTGCAGCACAAACGATGAAATTCGAGCACAATCCAGCACAAACGTAGCACAAACGAAAGCCCTTGGTTTGAATCCAAAATTCGGAAGTGGGGGTGCCAGGGAAATGCACCTACTTATTTGGATTTAAGGCCTACCTATATCCCTGACTATATAATATAATAATTCAACGGTATCGTTGTGAAGAGGAGAGAAGTGAGTGAGAGAACAAAATGCATTGAGTACCTACATCTGTCTACGATAATTTGATTCTTTTATGTTTTTACGTTATTGTACATTCTATATGCAGTGGCGTAAACTGGGTGGTGCAAATGCAGCACTTGCACCACCACATCTAAAATGTGGTGGTGCAAAGGTATGTTTTTGCACCACCGGAAAATCATTGAAATATATAATATATAAAGAGGTACAAAATAGTTATTTTCGTGCATGTATTAGACATTATCATTTAAATTATTACCCTGTCTATATTCTAAAATATCGTACAACCCCCATAAATAGTTAATTATTATCTATGGTAACCACTATCCACAGAATTTTGTATTTTATAATGGCAGTATCATCACAGAATCACGATTAAAGATATTATATCTTTAATCGTGCACAGAATAGACGTAGGTATAATATGGTAAAATTATATTGCTATCAACATTCTACCGCCAAAATGGTGTGTTATCACTGGATCAATGTTCATTCAATTCTCAAAAGTCAAATGTCAGATGACAGCTAGATGTCGTATTGAATCAAATTTTAAAATTCTCTACAGGTTTCATAAGCGCCAGGAAAAACAACATAAAAATTAAGGAAAAACAGGAATTTTTACCCGAAATCGGTTTTCGACAAAATCGATTTTGGTTTTTGACCAAACAAATGAACATATACATATATAATTGAAATATTCACTGGTTGGGTAAAAAAGCTTGGAAGTTTAATACAAGGCTCCAACTATATTGTTACAATGACATTAGAAAATTATTAAAAATCCTTAGTCACAGTTTTTTTTATAAGCATTTAAAATTCAAATCTTTACAAAATACAGAAAAATCACGATAATTAACAATATAATTTGAGTTGAAAAAATCATAAAAATGTTTCTTCTCAAATTTAGGATTTTAAAATGTAATATAAGATTATTCATAAGTTTGTATACGCCTTTATCAAAAAAAAAATGTCCACAAGTAAATCAAATTAAATTTTTATGAGCATTTGAAAATCATATTTTTACAAGATTGGATTTTCACTAGATTTCTCATGTAGCGATTTTGTTAATTTGTTGTTATTCAAACAAATAACTAAATACATATTATAACTGTAAATACATGAAAATTTATATATTTATATTTTAATTTTCTATACACCACAAAGTTTTGAAAATATTTTAACTCTCTTATTGAGCTGTTTCCGGACATTGTCATTTTTTAATTTTTTTAGTTTTTCTTTTCTATAAATATCAATAAAATTTTATTTGTTTGGTAAAAAGCGTGAAAATTTAATGGAAAGCTCCTGATATATTGTTACAATAGCGTTGAAAAATATTAAAAATACATAGCCACAATTTTTTTTTATAAGCATTTGAAGTTCAAATGTTGACAAAATGTATGGATAAATATATAGTTTTTTTTTGTTAGGAAGGATTTTACTTAGAAAGTTGGATTATTTTTGTGTTGGAAATTATAGGTTAAGAATATGCCTCTGCACCACCAGAAATTGGACCCAATTTACGCCACTGTCTATATGTATTACATATATATATTCCTTTATTGTGCATAGGTACCTATGCTATGTTTGTTGTTTTTAACGAGTTTTTTCGTTTGTCTTTTACAGGAACACATCGGAGTGCCGTATCAAGACGTCGGTAAACGGGCGGCGGTCGTCTTACACAACGACCACGAGGACGGAACGATTCTTATGGTAAGTCTGTCGCGCCTCGTCTCGTGACAAGGTCGAGTCAAAACACGATATAATACAATAATATAACGAATTTATTATGATATACGTAGATAAATGATAATATAATATAAACATAATGTATAATATATGCTATATATATAATGAACCGACACAGATCGTCGTACAATACAGCTACGTTGACAAACAAAATGGTCAATGCGTCTTCATTGAATGTATTATATATGATTAGGTTTAGGGAAAATAATGTATATATAACGAGTGTCTAAATACCTACCTAAGATTAATATATTATATTATGCGCAACGAGGCGACGAAATAAGGTCGTTTGGACCCGGTCGTGAAACGGTTTTTTTTTTCACTCAGTCTTCTTCGTTGATTAATGAATTGGCACAAACAACCGAGGCGCACTGCAACACAGTATAATTGCGATATTGGGTCATTGAACAATATATATAATTGAAAAAAAAAATTATTATCATCATCATTATGACGATATTATTATTCTTCGGGAGCTGTTGCGCAACCCGATTTCGATTATAACAATATAAAAATATAAATTGAACGACGAGACAATAATACGTATAATTATAATACGATGATGGTCAGACCTGTGAAACAGCAGCCGCGGGACTGATTCGGACTCGCGATGGGTCCCACGACATCGAAGCGTCGCGTCGTATTGTTGTAAATCGCACGCTAATATCGAACACGGGCGCGACGGTATACATAACATAGGTAATAATAATATTACGGATTGTACGCATAGTACGGTGGATTGGAGTGATTGGACACGGAATTCGTTCCGGTTACGAGTGGTGTCTGACCCCTAGACGAGGTTACACAATAGACTATGTCTATATTATAATGCCGTAGTCGTTGGCGGATCTGACTGTTGTTGCAGAAGTGCAGACAGATGTAAATCGGCTAATAAATCAAAATAATATAATATAATAACTTATAGGTATAGCTATCTACCAACTTATGCAAAACTAACGGGCTTGAATATCATATATAAATATATTGTATACCAGATAATACATATTATATTTATATATTATTAGGGCTGGGATTTCGATGCACTTTGTATTGTTTTTTGTACTTTTGAATGAGAATAAAACGGTTTAAATCGCATTTTTTTAAATTTCTTAGTTTTTAGGTAATTATTCCTTAATTTTTTGGGGCATATTAGATTTTTTGGTGAATTTTTTGAGTTTTTGAAAACAAAATATGAATTTGAAATTTATTTTAAGATTTTTACACACCAACATGATTTTTATACCTATAAATAAAACAAATTATAAAGACTATAAGGTATAGGTACTCGTTATTCGTATTATATTATCGGATAATAGTTGATATGTCAAAACCTAGATAGCGAGTCTAGGCGACGTCTCGGTAAAACTAACGTGGTATATTAAGAAACTAGTAAATTAAAAAAAAAAACACATGTAAATTGTAATATATTTTCTTATGTAAATTTTTTTTTTTTAATATATTTAAATTCATTTTTACATTTTTTAAGGGCAATTTTTGAAAAAATTTTAGGGCATTCAAATCCCAGCCCTATATGCAATATAGGTACCTATACGTTCAAAGTTATAATTTATAATAATGTTATAATTATGCGCTCTTGTATAAGCATACAATATACAATATACAATATCGGTGCCATTCAAGTACGTTCGTCGAAAAGTTTGAAATCGTTTTTATAATATAATGCACCGGCTCAAGGTTTGAGCAGAAAACAATAATAATATATTATATTCAGATGCGGAGTCTACTATTCACCCGTCCATATATGACACGAGGTTACCTACAAATGTTACACTATATATACCTACCTATTATATTTTGTGTTATATAATATTATTATATATTATATTATATGTAAATATAAGTGCGTCTGAATGCAGTATTTAGGTTTTCTTAGAAATTCGACTAGTTGTTTAGCATAAATTATATCGAACGTCCACCAAATCTCGTTGGCCGCTGCGTGTATATATGTGGATTGTATACTTATTACTTAGGTATAATGGTATATAGTTACGATCGGTAATTTATTCATCAATCTCGGTCTGAAAACTTAGAAAATTCAAAATGAAAATGATAAGCGATTCTGTCTTGTAAACACGCGATGATATTCAAATGACACTGTAATATACGTACCTAATTATGTAACAATAATTATAATTATGTTTAGGTAGGTATATGTAATAATATGTGCAGAAAATCGTTTTGAATTCAAATAACCTATTGTTTTACCTAGGTACCTAATAAGTATCTACGTATGTATTGTAAACAAATATGATAAAATAATATATGAGGCGAAATATTAATATATATAAAATATAATAAGACTGCTAAAATACAATAATATTATAATTTTTAATAGTATAATCACAGAATAGATTAAATTCAATCTATTCTGTGGTATAATACTATATTATAATATTATAATCTATATCAGCAAACAACAATGCGGGAGACTTTAATGCACGAACTGACGTAATAATGCCGAGGACCGTTTTGGATATATAATATAATATAATATATTATTATACCTACGTGGCTACGTGGCTACATATAAGACAATGGAGAAATTAATCGAAAAATCTTAGACGAATATGGACATGTGCGTTTTCTAAGTCAACGGGATATCTTTCTCTATAAATGTAAAATTCGAACTTTTATTCAGTAATCTGTATGAATATCTTAATAATAGTGGCTAGAACGTTTTAGGTACCTATATACTATATAGTACCTACTACCTAATATATACCTAATATTTTTGAAATGTAGAGGGGAGGAATACAGCTTACGTATAACTATGAATTCATTTATATATCATCATAATTATATATTATATAGAAGCCAAAATAGTTTAGTGATGATATCTTCTATACACTAAAATAACTGTAAACCGTGTAAATAATGTTAATATTATACACTATATACTAGCTAATAAATTACTAATAAATAATAATATACTACTAATATATTAAAATACCTAATTGGTTTTTTTATAGTAAAATGCATTATATCTATTATAATATTATGTATAAAATATGTTTCGCAAATATATTATAGAACCGTTTTTAAAACCGTTCGATTTAAAACGACGAGGAATAACTATCGTTTGGCATGGTCCATACATTTTTTAACAGACTTTACTTTTAAATTGTACCTATAGGTATACACTTGGGAATCAAATTTATCATTTCAATTATAACACTCATTACACAGTCATAATTTGTTTTGATATTTTTATTTCATTGCAGTTTTTGCAAAAAATCTAACTATCTAAGGTAGGTTATACCTACTTACCTTATCATGATTTTATTAAATTTCAAATATAGTCTAAGTGGTTTTCGTTTTCATGCACCCGTCAATGAGCACCAATAATAAATAAACTGTATATTGATACCTAATTGTCCAGTAAAAATGTTTACCTTGAAGGCTTGAAACATATACCTGCAGATAATATATTAAAAAAATTAATTTTACTTTTGCTTTATATTCCCACGGAAACTTAACAAAACAACCTACTCTTTCTTTTCTTGTGAAAACCATTATTGTAACGAACACATTATTAGCATCGTAACGTTTTGTTCAAATATTTTCATCTGAGAAAAAAAAACGTTTGATTAATATTTATTAATGGGTACCTACCTAATATAGTCTAAACATGACTGCAGTTACCCTTGCATGCCATGTATATAAATAATAAGTTTCTTATAACATGATAACGTATACTGTAGGTGTTGTATTGTCAATATTTGTAAAACAACTTATTTATATACCAGAGCATAAAAAAAATATTATAATTAGTTTTAATTAAATAATATAATAAATATTTCGATTTCATAACCAGTTTCGGGTGCGTCTATTAGGCAATAAAACATTTAAATATCTTGTAATTTTCATCAGATAACAATTTGTTTACAAAACACAAGCGTTCGAAGTCGCTAACACCTGCAGCGAGCCCATTACGTTGTATAGGTAGGTTAGGTTACCTATATATACAATTATACTGACAGTGAATATACAGTAAATAACGACGATACGCAGCGAATCGTTTCGAAAAAAAAATTACTCAAAATTACCGAACCCGAATATCCGTGCGACTTCACACTTATCGAACGGTATAATATATATTTATAGGTTGTTTTTCGTCCTTATACGTCCGAAACGTATGTTTATTTATCATCTGTGTGTCATATATAAACGAAAATGGTGGATACAATACATACGAAACAGGCACTACAAATAATAATAGTATGACAACGATCTGCGACGTGTTCCAAAAAAAAAAAGCAAACGATACACGATACCTACGTCCTGTATAATTGTTAATTATTGCGAGTTTTTTCGTCAAACCTGTTACGATATTCGAGCAAAAAAAAAAAATTAAATATACTTGTGAATGATTTGTAATTTATATATTATTATATATTATTGTCTGATAAAAATGTTTTGGAAAATTTGAACAATCTCAACGCCCTCATAATGACTAACATGTTAATAAAACAAGAGCATTCGTGTAGACGGTGATCTGCTGGATTAAGAATTTAAAGTTTACTGACACAGTTATACATATGTACATACCTATATACATACATACATACACACATACATACATACATACATACATACATATGTATACTAAACAAGTACATATACACTTATTATATCAGTAAAATTTTGTTAAAACATGATTGATTATTAATACAAAGCTGAGCAAACCATATTACCACAATTTACAAAATACCTACGCAATATTTTTATATTATTATTTATGTGCAATTAATGTTTTGGAAGTCCATTAGAAAAAAAGCATCTCGACGAAATAAAAGTTTTAAAGATTTTATGTGCATTTTTGGTAGAATTTTTATCTGAGGATACCGCGCTACTAAATTAATTTTATTTTTTGGGTCGTATCAGATTATTGATTATTATATCGTATATTCCGATATTTGAATGTCTATAATATCACTTTAATAGTGACAAATATAATTGGCTCCTGCCGATAACATTTTTAACAGTTAAACATTTGTACCGATCATAATGTTCCGTATAAAAATAACGGCGTGTAAACATTTTCTAATGATTATGTTGTAATATTTAAATCAAGATGATTTGATTCGAAGTCATTAAAAAAAAAAAAAAAAAACGGCCAATCATATTAGGTAGATAATACCTTAGTATAAAATATGTATACATAATACATATACTTACGTTTTGTCATATTTAGGGGCGTAAAAAGTCTAAATAGGTAGGTACCACCCACTTGCAGGACTATAGCGTGCGCGGAAACTCCACAGTGGTGCTGCAAGATGACATTTTATTTATTATTATCAAAACCCACACATTAAATATTATAAAATATTATATTCTGCAGTGGCTATAGTCTTTTTGAAGGGTGTTTCGGCGTTCGCAATAGCAAAACTGTCTGCCGCCGGCCGGATTGCCACGGTACACGGGCCCTTACATTATACGATACTATACCCATAGGCATCATTACATTAGCCCCCCCCCCCAGAATTATTTGTATTTAATGTGGATTATAGTGTTTTTTTTTATTATTATTAATTGTTTTTGCAGCCCCCCCCCCCAAATATATTTGATCACTCTACGCTTATGAGTTATGACTATACCTATACAAGCTACTATATTTATTATAGGCACAATTTATGGGGTGCTTGGGAGTGCCTAGGCGCCTAGCACCCCCAACATTTTTGATAACATCATCGAAATTTTATTGACTATAATATTATACCATAGGTATTTGGATACAATTATTTCTAAAACTTTATCATTTTCATAATAATAATATCAGAACAATAATATAGATCATAATGTATTGTGTTAGATAATTGTTTATATTAAGATTAATTCGAAGGTGTATAAAATTAAGGTGTATCAATGGAGTTGGGTGTGGGGGCAAAGCCCTTCACTGATCACTTTAGTCGACATAAATCTAGCACCCCTATAAATGTAACTCAAATTGCGCCTATGAGTCTGTCTGTATAATAATTTATACTTTATAGTTTATAGAGGCTCATATAGTATACTTATTATATTAATATATTATAATCCGTGTATCATAACGATATTGTATTCCATATACAGCTATACAAGCTTATTAGAGGTCGCGTACCTATAAATACGTCGCTATAACGTGCATATTATATTTGCTTATATACGCGAAAAGGCGGCAACTTCGTTATATATAATAATATATTATAATATGTATAGATTTGTGCCGTACGATGCTAGCCAACAGGCGATCGTTATTTATATATTATTTAATGCTCGTTACTTTAAGGTTCATTATTTTGTGTTTCCAAGTAAATATTTTTATATTATTATAGTTAGGCATACGCCTGGCACCAACTATATTCACAGTGTACTTTATACAGTTATACGTATATTAATGCAAAGAATTGTTTGATCCTGTGCGGTAATATATATGCCGATTTTTAATATACCTATAATATATACCTAACCATTAAACCGGCATATAATGAATTTCTAAGAATTAGACAGACGATACCTGTCACAGCGAAATTATGATGCACCACTCTGCTTATCTTTATGCCTTAAATAAACATCAATAAGAATCCATTTGTTGAAAATGCTTTCGTAAACTTATTTAACTTCAAAGTTAAGAATATGAATAATTTACACTAACATAATAGTAGAATTACATTTTTTTGTTAAGTAGATATCTATAATCTATAGTTATATAATAATTAATAACACTTTAAATTAGATATACCTATGACCACATACCTACTGTTCTGTGCTATGACCTACATAGGCGTAGAGTGATCAAATATATTGGGGAGGGGGTCTGAAAAAACAATTAATAATAATAAAAATAAAAAAAACACTATAAACTAAATGAAATACAAATAATTCTGGGGGGGCTAATATTCACACTGAGGGGGCTAAGCTCCCCGCATAGATACGCCTATGATGACCTATCTATAAATATGTTTTCAAAACAAAACTATTGACAGCTGATATCAATGTTTGCAGGTGCAATAATTGTAAATGGAAATGAATAATATCAAGTTTTCAGGTGTTTATTATGTTTAGCTTTAGATGTCTACAACAGTCTTATGTATTTTTACTTCATTTTCAAAGTCTAATATAACATTTATAAAAGTAAGTTTCGATCCACATTTTCGAAAAAAAGAATTACCAACTAACCTCAACATAAGTAATACAACCAGTTACGAGTTAACACTTACCAGCTACGTATGGAGAGTGTGAATTGTTCGCAGCGAACTCTCGTGATTCTACAACGTTGTCCTCCTATAATAGACAATCTATAGTCACCTGAATAATAAATATTATGGCAAAAAAAAACAGCGGTTAACCTAAGTCCCGATCGCATCAACGTAATACCAATAATAAATAATAATAATATCATCTATACATTATATTATGCATATATGTGTAATGTACTACGTGCCAACTTGACGCATATCATTATTATACGTGATGTAGTCGATTATATAGGTACGTAAGCAAACCCAGGACTACCGTGCTCTTTTTATTTTCGTTTCTTGACTTAAAAATTAATTTCTGTTTCAACATTTGAACGAACGTTTAACGTCCGTCCGTGTTTGTTTTTTCTAATCCAATATATATGAACTAAGATGTTTTACAAACAACACGTGTATTATATTACGTTCCTTCCATTAGGTACTCAAAATTCAAACAGTTTATAAATATATAATATTATTATGAAGATGCATTCTAACCCTACCTTTCTCTACCCATCGGCCATCGTATGTATCCAAATTTTATTGACTTTTTAATTTCACTCGGTCACCGCACCGTCTTCTCCGGTTACCGCGGCCGGTCACACGAATTATATTCTATTTTTATTGTCGTTATTATTTTACGACAATACGACGCGCTTGAAATGTAAATATCATCGACCATACGCCATTGAATAAAATTACATAATGGCCGTATTGAGAGGTACCTATCAACAAAACGTTTACACGGTGCATATAACATAACGAGTTTACTTTTGTTGTTCAGTTATGCATTTTTGTTTTTTGTTTTCCTTATGAACTGTGGAATATCGCGGGACGTGTCTATTCTGCATTGAAACCTAAATCATCGTATTATTATTATTATTAAGTATTATTATTTACTTTACCTTGTGCCATTGACATCGTCCAAAACTTAATGCAATGACTACAATAATCTATACACGCACACAATATTATAATGTTACCTATATTGTATTCAATGAAATGTAATTCAGAAAAGAAATCATTTATTTTTAAGAGCTAAACCTATTGTTGTTTAATTGCATTGGAATGGCAGGCTTTATAAGGACACGTCATTATTATTAATATTATATTATATTATTCTCGTACTTGAAATGCGACTTCCACGCTATTAGTAGTTATTAAAGAAGTTATAACATTAATTCGTTAGAGCTACACACAAACGTAATAAAATTGAATGGTCTTTTTGAATGTATAATATAGGAATTGATATTAATTTTAATGAACTTCGAATATGTATTTTGATATGGTTTGCCAAAACCACTAGTTAAGAAACTTCATTAATATGGGATATCCATGTGTTTTAATGCGCTATAAAATTGTCTGATTAAAACATGTATATAACTATATAAGTAACATATTTTATAATCTTTAAATCGAGTTTAGGTATACATTCATATTATACCTTACTGATATATCTTATGGATTTTGAATTCGATAATATATTAATTCGTTTACATTTTTATTTACTTACACGACACGTGCATTAGATTTACATTATTATTATTATTATTTAACCTATGAAATTATAATTAGATTTTTCTCGATTGCGATAATATTATACTTTGTCGAGATGTGCAACGTTAATCAGAATATACCAGTCTATTACACGTGCCCTAAGTCTAGCACGTTATATTATACAAACACCGCCTCAAGAACAACGGGTTTTTTTTTTAATTAAGTCATGATGTACTCATATGTATAGTCATATCTATATTATAATCTATCAAATATTATCGCAGTTGTTAACAGCAACGCGGTAAATGTTAGGTCGTTAGATGCCTAGTTAGTGATATAGCTATATGGGTATAGACTATAGGTACAGAGCTATATTCTTCTATACGATCCACGTGAGGCACTAAATATTTTTATAGAGATTTGGGGAGCAAAGAGACTTTCTCGGAATCGTATCGGACGGTGCAAGGAGGGCGGGAGAAAAAAATCAGCAAAATCGGCGTGTTTCCACAATAAATCAATATAATATTATCGTACAAATATACGTGAATCTTAACAGTATAATATATTAGGTACGGCACGAAAATTGTTTATAAATTATTTGTCTATTTGTCTGCGCAGCAACCGGTTTCCGTGAACATGACAGTCTCCTCTTAAACGTATCCGACGCCGAAACTTGTGTCGTATTATATTCTACACCGTGATATATAAATAATTAACTGCAGATTATTGCGCTAACCCAGATTCGATCGGTCGAGTGGATTACTTGTTAAAAAATGTAATCGGAATTTTCGGTTTAATCTCACGTCCCGTTTGTTTTCAGGAAGGTACCATCGGGGATCATCTGGTGGTGAAGCCCGTGCCAGCCGTGTACAGGAGACACGTACAGTCTACCACCCCCGACGACGAGATGTTCTTGGACCGAGACGGCGACAACGAAGTGTCCAACCAGGGTTTCCCCCTGAAGTCACAAAAGTTCGTGGCACATCACAAGCACGTAGTGTACAGAAGGAACCCCGAAACTGACCGGACGGCGGGAGATTACGGTAAGTTTACCACCAAAATATCGTATAGACAGTATATTGTGTGGCGATGGCGGGAAGTGAGCTGTTTCACTGAAATTTAAATGTGCCACACATACTATTTTTCGTCACGCCTCTGCGTCCACCGATCAGTGTCTGATTGTGCGGGGGATACGCCACAGCACTTTTTGGGTTTTTCACATTTTACCGCCAGACACTATATGGGGATTCCCACTTTATACCGCCCGTTGGACGCTCATCGAAAACTAAACTTTCGGTGACAAGAAAATTATCATTTATGACAGCAGTGTTATTGTTTGCAACTCGAAATCCTTTCGTTTTCAGCGCTAATGGAACCTGACGCGTTGCCGAGGAGCAGGCGGAAAAGATCGATCACCAAGCGGGAAGCGCCGTACGCCATTTACCCGGAAATAATGGTCATCGTCGACTATGACGGTTACAGGTAAGCATCGTAGTCGTAATTCAGATTTAACGGATCCCGATTATAATGATAATAAATCGTACACGATTTAACGCACGATGTACTAACATATTATTATGGACTATGGTTTATTTATACATAAAAACTATATTATAGTATGGTAAATTTTAATGAAAAAAAAAAACATTTTTCGATTTGTATACAGGTTGCACGGGGGAGACAACGTACAGATTAAACGTTACTTTGTGTCCTTCTGGAACGGCGTGGACCTCAGGTACAGACTACTCAAGGGTCCAAAAATACGTATAAGCATCGCGGGCATCATAATATCGCGGGTAAATAAAGTATATAATAAGTATTAAATAGACATAAAAAAAAAAATAATTTTTGAACGCGACGACGGCGATGCTCACAATGCCGGCATGCCGACGCTCTCGTCGGTTTCGATTCCGATTTCTTCGAAAAGAGCTTTCTTTGGTTTCGGACAGTTCTCCAAGATCGAGTCCAATATGTCCGTACACATGCGTTTGCGTTTCCTATACTCCTTGGTGACCGTTTCGTATTCCTTCTTCACTTGCCCTCTATCCTTTGCCGACACTACGTCACCACTTGCTTTCGACATTTGATCCACTTGGGATTTAAGTTCGGATACGGTTTTTTCCATTTCGGCCACCTTTTCTTTTGCTTCCTCGGTGCTATAAGTGCCCTGGAGCGTTTTCAATTCAATCTCGGATTCTTTGCACTTGCGCTCGACTTCACGCAGCTCCTCGTTAATTTTCATCAACTCCACGTCAATCGACTGGATTTCATTTAGGTCTTCCCCCGTCGAGTCCGGTTGCACCACGCAGTAAATCTTCTGCTTGCCATTCAACTTCATGAAGATCTTGTTATCCTTCACCAACTGATCGAGAGCTTTTTCCACGGCCGACTTTCCGACACCATGTCGCTGTAGATTTGAAAACACATCGTTGCTACTGTACGGTCTGTTGGCTTTGACCATGAACTCGTAAACGTTTTTCTTGTCCGATCCCATGTTTGCTGCAAAAATAAATAAATAAATAAATAAAAATAAATTTATTTATAATATGCGATTTTTAGGCGAGAGACGCCACGCCCTATTTGGAGAGGAATAGAGTCGGTAGAGACGCCATTGACTCAGCGGCTGCACTCACAGACATGGGTAAATACCTGTTCAAAGAACGAAGACTGCCAGTATACGATATCGCCGTAGCCGTCACCAAGTAAGCTGGTTCTGAATAGTCTATGAATTCAAAAAAAAAAAACATTAATACAAAATTAGTTTTTATTTTTTATCAACATCTCGAGTAAAAATAGATTTATTACTTTTACTCCGAGACCGTGCAAAATGATATTTGTGTGATAATATAATAATATATGGGATATTATAACCGACAACCAATGCATTTAGGTACGACATGTGCAGACGTCGAAAAGGAGGCCGTTGCACAAAAGGAACGGCTGGTATGTGGTAAATAAAAATAAGAGGGGAAAAGTGCTTGGTAGTGTGATACGGGAGAATTTGTACATACTGCAAATTGTCGTCCTACGAACGGCATTACCTATATTACTTATACTAAACATCCTTCTGGGTACGATGGGGACAGAATATGTTATTATTGTGGTACTTGACGGAGCTTCTAACGTGTGTAGATGGTAGATGATTAATACTCTATATTATTTTAGACTATATTATAATAACTATATTATATAATTAAAATGTAAAAAATTGAAGTGTTGGAATAACTATGTATACGAAATACCTAATATATGTTTGAACCACCATGTATTGGCGGACCGAGAGAGACGTTATCGAGTCCAGAGCAATGTAAACGACAATTCAGTACGGACTAAATAGCATATATACTGTTTGATTTTCAGATTAGACATGTGCAGGCGACAATACCCACACGATACATGCAACAGGGGTACCGCAGGTATGTCCCTGAAAATCCAAAACATATCAGTGCACTTGTAATTTGTTCGGCCCCCAGATATCATTTCGTTTCCCTCTCAAACAAATCGCACTTAAAATTAAACATTGTATTATTATTATTTTTTTTTTTGTTTGGCAAACAAAGGTTACAACAATCTTGATTCATTCACTGTCTGGCACTGAAATTCTGAAATTACCTGGAAATTATATGTATTTAAGGTCACCATTATATCTTCTTTTACACTGTTTTATATATTATTATACATAATACAAATAGTCACGTGTCTATTTTTAAACACTATCAGCAGAAAATGTTTTTTAGCATTTCGCGTGACACACAAACACACAAGCGCGCGCTCGCACTCGTATACACTGGGCACGCAAATGCGTGACATGTGGTAATACTGGTGCGAAACTGGTTAGCTATAATGGTATACGCAAAGCTTTCTTTACGGTGATTTGTTTCCTGAATAATAAAAATCAAATATAAACACTTATATTTGTGTACGTATTTCTAACAAATATTTTATAAGTACATGCATGCGGATAATGTATATTACAATATATTATATACTAGTATACTACATAAATAAATATGTATATTTAACTTAATCAGCTGCTCTGAACCGGTGTACCTAATATTATATAGAGGTACAAGGTAAAACGATTTAACGACATTATACGCTTCCCTCTCGAATGTGTTGGATTAACAGTTATTTAGTTGCACTTCGACGGACTGTCCGCCGGAAGAAATTGCTTATTAATACTATAGTAATAATTTTTTTCACTTTATTTGCGTTTTGATGGATAAAAACGAAACGATTTTTTTTTCCAAAAAAACATTCGCTTGTGCTAATCCCCGTGTTCACGTGTATAGGATTCGCGTACGTGGGAGGTGCTTGCGTAGTGAACAAACGTCTCGAGAAAGTCAATAGTGTCGCGATCATCGAGGACACAGGTGGTTTTTCGGGCATCATCGTAGCGGCGCATGAAGTCGGTCACCTGTAAGTCCAATCGCCACCGTCCACTATGGATCAGCCGCAAGACTTGTACATCGCTGCGGGTTTTCTCCTTACCAGTGAAGCACAAGTCTTGCGTCCGATCGCGATTAATAACCGAGTTTGTGCGTTATAGGTTGGGTGCGGTGCACGACGGTTCGCCGCCGCCGACCTACCTGGGCGGACCGGGAGCGGAGAAATGTCGCTGGGAAGACGGATACATCATGAGCGATCTGCGGCACACCGAAAAAGGATTCCGGTGGTCACCGTGCAGCGTGTCGTCTTTTCATCATTTCTTAAAGTTTGTATAAGATTATGATCGATAAATGATGTGTATATTATGTGACATGGGTGTACGTAAATAATAATATGGTAGGTCAAAGACGCAAATGTTCGGTAAAGCGACTTTAACGCTCCGGGAAATGTCCCCGCATCATTTGGAAGTGATGAAACGGGCGTTGACTAACGGGCTATTGACATTTGACATTTTACGTTATTGACTTTATTTGACTGATTATTAACCGAATAAACATAATATATACATTGACTGTCAATTAAAAATTTTAATAATAATAAATAATAATTTAATTTTCCGTATACAGCGGTGACACGGCTACATGTCTGTTCAATTCGCCACACGAAGACGAGTCACTACCCAGGATGTTGCCAGGAAAACTGTTGACTCTGGACGCCCAGTGCAGAAAAGACCGAGGGACCAGCGCCTGTTTCGTGAGTTAACATCATACGCACAGCATGAGCACTGAATAGATTACATTTAATCTATTCTGTGGTATGAGATCGTAAAAAAATATCGTTTATTTGTTTGCCTTGCAGAAAGATGATCGGGTGTGCGCTCAGCTGTTCTGCTTTGACGCTGGTTCGGGTTACTGCGTGGCGTACAGGCCCGCGGCCGAAGGATCACCTTGCGGAGATGGACAAGTGAGTACTAAAGACAGCGTCTGAATAACAATATATTTTTTATACCTATTCATGTCGGCAATTGTATTGGCAAGGGGGGAGGTGCGTGTTTGTTTGCTCGGATCGATTGTATTTAACACAATATACAAACACATACTATGGTATGTATACTCATGTGTATGGATGTGGTTTATAGACTCAAAAACTACTCAATAAATGTTGACGATAAACTCAGTGATAATCCATAGAGATACAATGAAAGTGTAGAGAGTAGATTGAACCACGCGTTCAATATGAAATGAATACTTCATAACTACTGCGCGTTGCCACCGTTATGAGTTTTTGGTTGAAGAATCCGAAACCTCATTCGATAACTTCAAATCAACAAATTACTCATTATCGTCACTCTGTTGTATTTCTTGTAGCATTGCACCAACGGCAAGTGCATAACGGAACACGAGAACATAATACCGGACTTTTCGCAAAACACACCGGCCTACCTGCGCCGGTCAGGAGACGAAGGGGAAGCAACTCAAGACTGGCCACAGTATTTGACTCCTAACGTCACGACACAGAGGTAAAATCAAAAACAAAATCGCTCTGTTGCGAACAACGCGTGTAGGTACGACGAGGCAACAGTCGCGATGTATATTATATATCGCCTTAAATCGCCCTATAAACACGCACGATCGACGACGATCAGTGGCGGCGTGTGTATGTGCTATATTTTACTGTTATTAGATCAGGGATGGGCAAACTTCTTTAACGGAGGGAAACAAGTAAGCCCATCCCTGGTTTAGATCGTTCGTTAGTCACGCGTGTTTATATACTCGTACCGGTATCGCGACGACAACAATATTATTATTTTTGTACACCTAATAATATTATACCTATATAAGCAGTAGGGCATAACGTGCTTGAATGTTTAAATTGATAAAGTATTTCTTGTGCATTATGTTTGATTGACCGTCTCAGAAACGCGAAAACAAGATTAAATTTTTTTTTATTTCGAGCTGATTTAAACATAATTATAATATCAGTGTTATCAGCTAATACCTATATTACAGGTGTAACCAATACAGGTTAAGTATTTTGAAGTCAAAAATTACAAAAATATTAAACTGTCGCTAATGTAACTATCTGTACTGCAGCAGGTGCATAATAACAACATTATAGGGATGATAAATTTAAGTTATAAACAGGTAATAATATTAATTGTCGTCGCAACGTACCCAGAGCGGTATGCGCACTACGCACACGCTTGTGATATATATGTTAATAAATTTACTATATATGAGGTGATAAAACGCGCGTTTTGGACTAGAGCGATCCGGCATTTTAGTATACCGTAAACGAATAAAAATTCGCCAAATAATATCGTGACTCATGTGGGTTTTAGACTAGTAAGTCAGAACCCACCGAGCTTTTCAAAAACGCGCGTTTGGCACATGTTTTGTACTTTTGTTGTTTGTGAATGTTGTATGTATCCTATTTGTTTGTGTACTGTAAATACTCAATATTATCACTTATTATTATTTATATATATATATATATATAATATATATATACAGAGTGTGCCACCGTATATTTCCAAAAAGCTAACACAGGGAAATGGAAATACACAACAGTGGCCCGCCCTATATAATATCATCACATCTATATTATATTATTATTGTAATACTACGTAATGAGTAGAATACTAGATGATATACGCACTTATATACAATATTATATTATTATTACTTTATGTATAGGTAATCTGAGTTAGACATAGTCAGATGGCCTTAGATCAGGTCTTAAATCAGATATCAGGGATGAGCAACTGGCGGCATGCGTACCATTTTTATTTGTCCTTGCTACATTATCAAATTCAATGCATAACTCTTAAGAGTAAAAATTGGCCACATAATAAATTTAAGTTGCCTATCCCTGTTACATGTACATGCAGGAGGTATATAAGATATTAAAATCCAAAATACATTTCTGAACTTCACAAAGATTTCGGTCTTAGATTTCAAAATAAATATTATGATTTCATATGAAAAAATTTTTATTAATCATATATTATAAAATGTATGCAATAGGTATTAGATAATATATTATTATAAATTTACATAAACGTTATGCTTAGCTAAACAATTATAAGACAACTATAGCTTTATTATACCCGGGATAAATGAGATAGATCAGCAGCAGCAGCAGGACTTATGTTCAACCTCCCGTATTTGAAAAAACTATATTTATTTCACGTAGACCGAAATCTAAATTCCTTTGAATTTTTTGAATTCATTTTTTTTTATCAAACGTAGGGATCTGCCCCGACGATGATTATGTTTCAGGTATATGTTATTATTGTTGTACAAATCTTCCTGAAACCCCTCCCTCCTCATTTAACAGCTGCAATGAGCCAAATATGTATATGTATACTATAATATAGGGTTCGCTAAACATATTAAATTTAATATTACCAAATTTGGCGGCGTTTTAGGTCCGTGTGGAATGACTATTGGAGGACAACCCAAAAGACTATTGCCACCACCACCAGTACTAGTAACAACTTGCACCCCCGACCGCAAAACTTGCAGTACGCTCCCAACCCTTACCAACAACCTCCACAGGTAACCACCACCACGACTAACGGTGACGCTCATGACGCGCGAATACCGACATACAAACAACTACTACTTGTACAACAACAACAACAACAACTACAACAACAACAACACCAAATCAAACAACAACCACTAGGTAACGGCGACAAAAACGAAGACCCGTTGGCCGCGTTGCTTAAAAACAAATACTACCACTCGGGGCCGCAAGAGTTGAAAACCGTCGATCGACCTCAGTCGCCCAAGAGTAACGGCGGCGGTTCGTACGGTAAGTGATCGAGTTTGCGTGAAAGCGCTGAAAAATAAGAGGGGGGGGGAAACCGCCCACACATCACATTCGATCACGTCATCATCATAACTTTATTATTATTTATCATTGCGCATACGAAAAAAAAAAAAAATAATAATAACAATTTATTGGCTGGAACGAAAAACCACTTCACACTATATCTTTACGCCGATGATCTTCATATAATATATCACACCTAAGTACCTATATATTATTATATAACACAATATAACATTATAACAGAACGCTGCACGGACGACAACTGCGTATAGAAAATATATTATATTTACGTCGTGATAATGCGTATGTGTGCATCACATATTGTACCTGTATACACAATATTGTTTATAATAGAATACACTCTGTACACGTACATGTAATATTATTATCATTATTTATTATATATTATACACAGCTGCAGGGTGGTCCGGGTTCCGAATTACAAAGCCATTAGTTCGGGCGGGAGTTTGTAATTTGCACCAAATCAAAGATATGTAATTTGCACCACTGCAGCCTGCAGGTAGTCGAAAGTAGTGTTTGTTATTTGCACTAAAATAAGGATATGTAATTTGCACTAAAATTAAAATCGATTGTTTTTGATAGTATCTCGATAGTACCAACTTACAAGTTTCTATATCCTAGTATAAATTTAGCTCAGTTTTTATTTATAAAATAGCTGAGCTTATACACATAGGTACATATTGTTGTAAGTTTATATAAAATTGTATTACTATGAGTCTAACCAAATTTTAATTGGCTAACTTTTTTTTAATAAACATAACAATACGACTTTATATAAACTTACAACAATATGTGTATAAGTTCGACTATTTTAAAAATAAAAACTATGCTAAATTTATATTAGGATATAGAAACTTGTAAGTTGGTACTATCGAGATACTATCGAAAAAATAATCGATTTTAATTTTGGTACAAATTACATATCCTTATTTTGGTGCAAATTACAAACGCATTTTGAAAAAAATGGTGCAAATTACACATGTTGTATATATTTAGGGTCAATTTTGGTGTAAATTGACTACAGCCGTTCGGGCGGATATGTGCAATATATATTCCACTGGCTCGGTGTACACTGACTCCGAAATCTATCCACCACCACCCCCCCCCCTTACAGGTGTCTGTAGCGCGAGACACGGACGATCCCATATGCAATGACGATATATTTATACGCCCAACAGTAAAGTTGTACCTATACCTAACAAAAGTCCATATTTCGTCGACGACATTTTTAAGCATTGCTCTACCGCTTGCACGGTGGCAACCATATCATCATCACAGCCGCCGCCGCCGCCGTGCAGACACGCTAAACGCCTATATGTATACATTATTATTAATTATAAATACTCGCTTACTGTTGATGCTACGTTGATTTTTCCCTTGACCTTATAATATATATATAGACGCAATCGTTTTCTCGGTCGAACAATCCTCGGACTATTGATAAGAAAAAAATTAATTAATTATTATGCCGACGGTGTAAAAAAATTAGGTACCTACCGAGGAAACGTGGTTTCTATATTATATTAATATATTGTATTACAATAAGCCGTGGAAAAAAATTGCACTTTAAGCGGTTGCTAATCGTTCCGAATTACATACGTAATATTACACCGAACCTAAACTGCTTGTGAAGTACCCGCCGAATAACACACGCTTCTTGCACTCACTCTAATACCGCTGTGATGGTGACGATGTCATTATTATTAATTATGATCATCGTCCAAACAACACGCCTGTGCCAATTACCAGAAGCTGGTACAATTTCGCATACGCATCATTAACAGCTAGCGTATAGTTTAATATTATACTAAGCAATTATTATATAATATAACATATGCATTAATATTTATTTTTATAACATACAGGGCGATTATTTAAGAACGCAGAACCTAAACCGTCCCGGTTAATTTTTGTTCAGATTTGAAAGGGAAAATTATATTTTATAAATAGTTAGTAAAATTAATAAGTAGTCAGCCAATAGATGCCTATACTTAACACTTAACGTTTACAGTTTTAGCGAGACAATCGTTGATATATATTATATATTATATAACTTACAACTTTTTTTAGAAAAAAAATATTTGTTGCAATAAAATGAGTAGGTACTTTCTGTCTTTAAGCCATATTTTTAATAATTTCTTGTTTATGCATTAGGAACTGTTTACTTTTTCAAGAAAAATAAAATAATCAGTATAGTGCGGACGTTGATTGAAGTGTTTGGGTATTCAAATACTGGCGGAGAGTTGGATTTTGGAAAATCTCAATGGATGATGATACTGATAAGACACCCAGCTCGTAGTTTAGAGGAATTTCGGAAAGCAGACTATGTATTTTTTAGAAATCAAAACATCATATTATTGTATATCTACTCAATTATTATTAAAAATATTTTATTGAACAAAATAAAAATTTTAACATTTCGAGGGTTTACCCAAGCGATAAAATACTAATATTACTAAAATTCACAGTTTATTAAAACCCAAAATCTAGCTTGGAATGAAATTATTGAAAAATCGCCCTGCGTTATCTTCATACTATACGTTTTCATCATACATAAAATATCAAAAGATAATGGCTGGGTCAGGGTATTTACTTATAAAAACATGAGTTTAAAAAAAAAGCGATTCTTTTAATAGTACACACGCCAACTCTCGTTAGATCGAAAAATATGGATGATTTTGGAGATATTCTTTTTACATAGGTACCACCTAATCTGAAATCATTAAAAAATAATATTTAAAAAGACATATTTTTTCTATACAGTATACACTTTTCACTTTATATTCCAAAGCAGAACATTTTTCAAATAATTTCAATTTACAAAAAAAATTGTATTTGAGCTCAGACGACGAAAGTACTAAAGGTGCTAGTGGTCGGTTCCAAACGTCAACAGTTTTTTTCGAGTAAACGAGCGTTGGTGACAAGTACCTATAAGAAATTGCCTCTTGTGCTATATGATTATTTGAAAACATGCTTAACGCGAATTTTTCGTTTGCCGTTTCGCCCACAGCTGACGAGTGCGTGGACCGAGCAGGAGCCACGGACATGCTGGGAGCCGTGTCCTGTTACGACTACCTAACTAGGTACGGCATGGGACACTGTTCGAACCCGTACATCCGGGAAAACTGTTGCGCAGCCGTCAAGTACGTGTGCAACGGAGGCGGCCCGTCGCGGCAACTGCAACTGCAACAGTTCGGCTGAGTCATCAAAAGTGCAGCAACACTCGACGTCGTGCAGATGCAGTCTTGTGCAGTTTACCCGCGTTCCCGTCCCACCAGCCAGCCAACCCGCCCGCACGTACCTATCGTCAAGTTTTATGATATATATATATACATACGTCGTATTATATATACCGAAAAACAGAACAAAAAAAACCATATACAATCTCTGTGAGATCGATCTATTATTAATATTATTATTATTTATGCCTCGTTATACATACACACATTTTATATTATATTGTTTTTGAAAGAAAAAATATTTGTTTTAAAAAAAAAATTAAACAAAAACCACTTATAAGGCGTTATAACTCCAACGTTGTGTCGTGGACCTACGAGCGGATCATAACCGCGATCAAACAATATACATCACACACACCAGAATACGATATTATTATTTATTGCTACCATATTATGTGTACAGTTTTTCTGTTTTATTTTTATCATTATTTATTATAGTTGTGGTGTGACTCAACGACAAAACAAATCTCTACGAAAACCCCCTATACATAAATATTGTCCACATAATATACTCATTCTCGATTGAGAGATATTTTTATTGTGATAAGCCGCCCTATATGATAAGTTCGTAATGATATTTTAATATTATAACAACATTATGTATTACGTTCTCGTGTTTTGGAATCTTTTTTTATCCGATTCAAATAATATTGTTCCTCGACAACTCTAGGATAAAACTGGACTGAAAAAGATTTCGAAACTACGACATTTATGTGATTCAAAACTTATTTTTGTTTATTTTTATTTTTATTTGTAATTATTGAGTGGGCAAATACAACTTTTCTGCCTATGATATTTTATTTTAACTAATTAAGATGTTGTTTAGTCTAAGTATTTTAAGTGACAGAAATGTACATACAAAAAATATATGATAAATAAGTTAAACAAGTGTTTTAGTTTTTTTTTAGTTTTTATTTTGATACAAATCATTAAAAAAAAAAAATATTTATAATATAAAGCAGTAATCATAAATAATGGTAAAAGTTACCCAAACCACCAAAAATTATAAATAAAATATTATTTAATTTTAAACTATTCTAATTTTATACTTAGCAGTGTTGACTAAGAGCTGTATACACAATCCTGGAGATAAGAACTTAAGGGCAAATGCAAATATGCAATGATTTTCAAACATTCAAATTATTGCCCTCTAATAATTCTTTTGGCTCGTTATTTTGCTCTTGTATAACATTTTGTACTGATAGTGATGGTTGTTGTAGTACTTCAGTGTTTTCTCCAGGATTGTCTATTCGTTTTTTGCCGACCAAACAATAACTTGTCTAGCACCCAATCTGATCACCATGGCCAAACTAAATAATAATAAATAATCACACATGAGTATATAATAATATAGGGTATAGGATTTTTATAAGTTTATAAGTATTTATAACTTAAACAAAATGGATGTCTATAAAAATTGTTAGGTTAGAGAAAAAAAAATAATCGTATTGAGTTTATAAAATGTACCATCATTACATTTTTACTAGGTAAAAAAAGGCTAACCGGTATTAAAAGAAATCAACCCATACTTATGAAAGACACTAGATTTTCTGGTCAAAGCACAATTTACAATTTTAAAAGATTATATTGAATATATCAATAAATATTTTAATCTTATAAAACTATTAACTTTATTAAGATATACTTTCTGAATCATATAAGTACAGTAAATAATAACTGTGCAATATAACGTCATTATAAGTGCAATTTCATCTATTTGTTTAAGCTTACAGTCAAATATATTACATCAATGCCATTTTTACAAGTACCTTAAGCCATAGTATCATTTAATTATAAGCAAATAAGAGCAAATTGTGAGGCCTTCAAATAATCTTTTAAAAATAGGTACTAATTGAATCCACTATTTTTTTTTTTTTGTTTTAAATAGGAGTTATTAATTTAAAAACATTCATCTTGCATCTATACAGTTTATAAAAAGATACTATTGGACTACCAATTTTGAATTTGTAAATTCTTTCATTATCTATGGCCTTGGTCATAGATAAATATGATTGAACAATTTTAAATACTAGGAAGTATATACATATCTTATTAGTCATTGTTACTTAATAGGTATTTAGGTAGATATATCAGTTTGTTCGATAAAAAAAAATTAAGTAATACGCTAAAAATAATACATTTTAAAGTGTTAATGACCTCATAGCGTAAAATTATATTGTGATATTATTATGATATACTTCTCTACAAAATAATTAAGTTGAACCAAATTGAATTGTTATAAGACTTTAACAGCATCAAATATTAAATTTTGATCTGATGTTTTCCAAAGAGATCTAGTCAGTACCTAGTAAACTTTTAACTAAAATTGTTATTTTATGATGTGTGAATATCAAATTTTGCTATAATTTCAACTCATAAAATGTTAAAAAAAATGAATACAGCCTTAAGCTAAACTTGATTTTTTAATTCAAGTAAGAAAAACTTATAAGGAATATTTAACTACAAATTAATTTATGATTTTAAAGACTCATCAAAATTTTAACTTTAAATTCCCATTAACGTGGATTCACACCAGTTTTTTAATTTAAAAAAAGAACTTATAATAGGAGTTTTCTATTAAATTGTCAAGCTTTTTTTACCAGACAACATTCTTTATCAACATGTATAAAAAAAAAACTAAAAATTCAAACAATTTCAAATATCTCTAAATACCTAACTCAAAAAGAACCAAAATTCTACAATATGTAGATAATGCTAATTTAAATATTTAGTGAAACTGTTAAGTTTCTAAGTTAAGGGGATTGCAAATAGACAGTTTTTAAGTGGTTAAAAATAGGCAATTTTAAATTGAATGCATGCATGTCTTGTAAATGTGTGGTAAGTAAGTACCTGTCATTAGTGCGTGTGGCTGTGTGTAAAAGAAATAGTGGTGAGCTCCCACTTCCTCCCCAACAATTTATGCTCACCTGTATGTACTTTTTGTCAATCCTACTAATGGACCTGATAACATGATAAGACTTCTGAAAACTGATTTGAATTGGTTATAAGGTCTACTGGAGATTGATCAGGCTATATTTTAAGATATTTAACTTAAATAATTTAATAATTTCAAATAATCAACATTTAAATTTTAGAAAATTTTAAATATTCAAACAAAATGTATTGGAGTTGAGGACAAAATGTTAAAAAAAGTGGCCTGTTCGATGTCAAGTAGACATATTAACAAAATTAAATCAGTTTTCAGAAGTCTAATCGTGTTATCAGATCCATTAGTAAGATTGACAAAAAGTACATACAGGTGAGCATAACTTGTTAGGGAGCAAGTGGGAGCTCTCCACTATTTATTTTACACACAGCCACACACACTAATGACAGGTACTTACTACTCACACATTTACAAGACAATTTAAAATAGCCTATTTTATCGTTATCAGGTTCATCGATATGATTGACAAGAGATTGATTAATTTTAGTAGAAAATTATTCGTTCGCAATCCCATTAAATTCGTCTATTTATTACAACAAAAATAATACTAACATAAATGTTGTTAAAAACGGATGTTGCATTAATATTCTAATTTTTCCGTTTTTATTCAAGTATCAATTACAATAATACATCCAATTTGCTACTAGACACCACCCTTAAAGTTGAAGATTGAAACAATTTGTATTATAAAAAACATCCCAGGCACAAAAAAATTAATAAAAAACACATTGTAAAACTAATAAATTATCTACAATTTTTATATCGGATAAGATTTATCAGTACGAAATAATATTTTTTTAAGTAAAAAACCTACTTTAGAAAGTTACTAGTTTCCTTAATATTTTAACTGTAGGTACACTGATACACTACTGATGCTACTAACATTATTAAAGATTTGAAGTTTCGAGAATCCACAAGAGCAACAAGGCTTTAAAATCTCTTAAACATTCTTCTTTAAAAATCTAACAGAATACAAAGATAAGATCGATTATTAACTGAATTTCAAATGAAGTGAATAAATTACCCATAGAAATCAATGTCTTCCATCTTACATTAGATCAATTTAAAAGTAGTACCTATCCAGACATTAGGCTAATGTCTAAAAAAAATAACTACCTATACTTACTTATGTAACTATGTTACTTGTTTTTATTATATTCTGATTTTTTTTTTTATTCTTTTCTTGATTGTTTATACCATATATCTACTTTTTGTTATAGGTAAGAGGTATAATAGTTCATATTACGTGTTATATTTCATTATATTTACTGAAAGGGTATTTACCTATCGATTTAAATAAATAAACAAATAATCATGTATTTTAATATATCATCAAATATGATATAAATTATTAAAATGTACCTCAAAGCTGCCAATATACCAGCTGGCATGACTTTTCCACTATTGAGATAACGAACACCCATTATCCCTCCTAGAACTGCACTTGTACCCAATGAAAGGGCCAAGTTATTGGGATTTTTTGTCGTTTGATATGCACCATACCCAAGTACGGATCCAAACAACAAACCTGCCGACAGACTCGGAATACTCGCTAAACACAAAAATATCAAATCAATTTTAATGTTCAAATACTCTCACACGATGGGAAATGATTGAACAACTCAAAACTTTAATTAGAAAAACAATACTCTTTTAAATGTCTTTGCGCATAGTCGCACAGATGTACACGTCAAAACGGTAAAAAATTGAAATTACTTTTTTAATCTTTAGAGTTTTGAGTCACCGTCTAAGCACTAAGGTAGTTGAACCGTCGTGTACATCACACACCAATAATATAATGTGTCAGGTAAATAATAATAGTTTATAGTCATACCTGCTTTCGCGTAGCCGATGATGCCTCCGGCCGCCACCGTTGCGGCGTACGCAAATCCAATATAATCAACAGGCATGGTGAACTGAACGCCGGTCGACGTTTGGCGATAAATCTTCAGATAAAAAACTGATTGTTTGTGGACTATAAAACACGAGCACGGATGACGCGACTACGTAACAAGTTTTTATTTAGATACCTGCCTAACCACTCGTAGGTAAACGTTTATTGTTTATTCGTAGGTACTGTAATCTTATCGTCGGTATTATTATTATACTTATTGGGCCCTATAATTAATTGCCGCTTAGAGTTGCGTGTTTTCCGCATGTAATAATAATAATACGTATTATGATAATGAGCGATTGGCGACGACGATTTGCCGTGTAAAAAGTAATAATGTGATATCGTGTGCGCAGGTACATACAACAGTTGTATCGCCGCGAATGACCTTGGAATTGATAACAGAAATTGCGCTACCTGTATAGGACGTTCGGATAATCATTTCCTTTTTACTTCGATTGTGTGTGGCGTGCGTGCACGACCTGGGTACATCAAATTTGTACGTTTTGCTCAAATATCCGTCTCCAACGTTCTCGTGATTTGTTAAGGAAAATCGATTTTTACAACATTATACATACGTTGTAGCGAGTGTGTGTTATAAAACTATCAACAGTGATTTTACAATGCCATACGATATCCCAAAAACTGTTTCAAAAATTTATATTCATACTGGAAACGTGTTGAATGCTAACGAATTGACACAAAAAGCGGGTCAAAATGCAACTGAAGAGGTAACGATAATTATTAACTTTGTATTTGGATTCCTAAATAATTATATTACACATTATTTGACTCGTTGCATCCACCTACCAATATGATTTTAGGTAGTTGAATGTTTAAGCATTTGTCTGTCCAAGTACCCATCACCGTTTGCATTGAACGAAAAAACTGTACATTTAAAATGTGATGAGTGCTACAATAATGACAATGAAGAAGATTTAGCTCTCAAAACAAGCGTCAAGATTTTTCTTACCACAAACGATGTGGATGTTTTGGAAGATTCGTTAAAAAATAGTAAGATACTAATTTATAATTGACTGTTGTGTATTTTATTTAATAGAATTAATCTATTGTTTTAGTTTTTAAAGAATTGAATGAAGAAGTTGTAGATTCTGTAATTTTAGCATTTAATCATGGTAAAGATACCTTGTTAGCAGATTTGTTAACTCTGTGGTCTATACTTGAAGGATATGTTAACAAACAGAAAATCACGCGTATCGGTGTGAGTGACATTGACACAGATCTGTTCATTTCTCTGTACAATAACTCAATTGTAAGTTCATTATATTCAATTTTGTACCTTGAATATTAATTGTTTGTTTTGATTTTAGATTAAGCCAACAATTGTTCAAATTAATTTGAACTCTTGTTGTGTTGTACCAGAAGCCCTTCAAGAGTTTACTAAAGATAATGAAATACAGTTATTGACACACAGTGATTCAAAAGGTATTTTTAAGTGTACCTTAATATTAATACTATACATAATTAACAACATTGTGTTGAATTAATAATTCAGTGCCTGTCCTTATTTGCAATGTAATGCATATAGATAGATAGAATCTATGAAGTTGTCATATTTTTAAATTATTGCCAAAATGTTATTAGAACAATATTTTAATGTTTCTAGGAAATATTTTATTATTTTCAAATACTGTGTAGTCATACGTATTTTCAGAGTTTAATATGAAAATTATATTATAATATTAGAAGAAGGCTTCACAGTTTTTTTTTTTGTTTTTTTATTGAATAAATACGTACAAATAACAAATATTATCCCATTAAACATCCGTATGACTACTTTCAATGTATTTTTACAGTACATTATAAGTATACCTATTATTCACTGATTATTGCTGAAATAATATAGAAGAAACATTTTAATTCCGGTTATTATACAATTTTACTCTACACGTTATACTAAAAATTTCTTATCATTTGAACACATAAAAATATTCAAACAATATGCAACATTCTTTGAAATAGTCATTAAAGATTTTTTTTAACTATCTAATTAAATAGGTATGCATAAGTATCTAAAATAAAAAACAAACTTAAAATATGCTAGGTAAAGTAAAATGTATTTTGGGTCTATGATAAAATAAATAAAATGGATGATTATTAATTATTAATGTTTTCAAAATCTAAAGTATTGTATTGATCTCATTATCTTACTTTGTTTGTTATGACTTTATGAGGTATGACTATAACTTTTTATAGTTTTCAATTTGTTTATTATTTACTATACTATTGCAAATCTCACTTTATTCTTCCACAGGTATTAATATATTTGTTTGTATATATTTTTTTTTTTTTTTAGAAATCTTACCCCAATCGTGCTTAGCTGAAGTTTTTGGAGACCAAACTGAACTAAAACAAAAAATACCTAAACTTGAATGGATGATAAGATACCTAACTCATGTTAAGTGTAGAGGAGTCTTAGCAAGTAAAGGATATATTGTATGTCTTAAAAGATAATAGAATCAATCCACAACATGTCTAAAAGACAAATTAAGATGTATACACACCTTTTTTTATTATTATAAAAGTTTATGAATTTTATACTTTTTCTTCGAACAAACTAAAATTGTTACTAAACAAACTTAAATAAATTGTTATCATAATATTTTTATACTCTTGTGAAGGCATTTTAAGTCTATAACTTATACAAATATTTGTAACCTTGTTGAAATTGTGATAGTTACATATTTTTATGAATTATATAACTATCCTAAATATTAATAAACTAAACATAAAAGTGAATAAATAATTATTTATTTTATACTTAATATATTAACACAGAATTAATATTGCGTATTTTAATTACAAATAGCGCTAATAAGCTCTAATTAGGTATTACTGTAGTCTTAATATTACTTTATTGAAGTTGTTCCAAATTGTTTTAAATTTAACACACAAATATTTTTTAATGAATTAATTTTATATTGACCAGATACTATTATGCACAAAGATATAATAATTAAAGTGATAATTTTTCCATTTTTTTTTTTTATTTAATCAATTATCTTTACATTAATTATTAATTAAACACATTGAAATGAAAATATTTAATTGATTTTTTAATTCAAATTCTTTCTCAAGGTTACGCATAGAATTAATTTTGCTCGAATAACTGAAAAATGCCTATATAAAATTAAAGTTTAAATATTTAATTATTGTTACTTTCACAAAAATGCTTACTTGTGTGATAATATCTCCACTTAATAGTGTTGGCACTTTGTATATATCTTGGTCAATAATAATACAATCCACATTGTATAACCTTAATTTGTATTTGACCAAAATATTATACATTTTTATATACCTGTAGGCTATAGGTATTTAATAATATAAAATAAATTTTTTAGGGAGCTCATAAGATATAATGTATTATGAAAGAAATATTTTAGTTATTAATATAACTTAAATTAAAAAATATGGTTTATAGCATGATAATTTAAGATCAATAACATAATACAATATGTTGAATACCTACATTGTTGGATTTGTTGAATTAATAAAATTTTAGACACCGTTTAAACATAAGTGAATTCATTTATGTAAATTGTTATAATACATTTATAGTTATCTGTTCTATGTTTTACCGATATATTAAATGTACTTGTAATATGGACATTTTTTATGCAGCATTTGCTTACAATCTTACGCGACGCCACAATTAGGTATGGCATATTAGATTGAGGTACCTATACTTATTACATTTTTTTAACTTGTCTTTTTTAATAAACAGACATCATACAATAGTATTAATATAAATGATTAATAAATATGCTTTACCTACATATTAATGATTAGCTATCTATATGAATGGGAAGACATTCTATAATGTTAAATAAAATTAATATAGCTACTATACTCTCATATAAAATTTAGCTCGGGCACTAACCAATTTTAGTCTGATTCAGTCAGACTACACTTCTCAATAAATTGGGCTTTGTTGTTGGTGGCTAAAAAATTGCTTCACCATATTTATCTTAGCAAAATACAAGCTAGGTGGTTGTTGGAACAATAAAATAAAAAACTTGGCGTGCGTTAGCCACGCCTACTGATACCAGTGGCGTATTCAAGGGGGTCATGGGGATCAGATCTCCCCTCCCATCAGTGGCTTAGGAGTGGATAATCTACCATATTGTGTTTGATGTGAATTTTGAATCAATTCAAATTTTATTCATTATTCATCATTGTTAAATATTTTAGTACCTAAGTAAAAAGTTTTGAGAGGGTGTGGGATTTTCCAATTTTCAACTCCCATTTAGCTAAATTGTTTTATTTTTTTGATCCCCCTTTCAAAAATCATGTCTACGCCACAGACTGATACCACCATGTGCAGAATCCTACCAAGTGAGGTACGTATATCAAACAGAAGAATATTTCAGGATAATAATAAATAACAATAAATTACCTCAGGTAAATGCAAAAAAAAAACACATTTTTCCATGAAGAGATCCAATAAAATACGTTATAAGTTTTAGGTCATAGATTTTACACTAATTTATGGAAATTAAAACTACGTAATTATATAAATTGATAATAGAACCACCACAACCCAACTTCATTATTTTTTTATTATGAATATTTCTTAGGATTAGTTACCTATATGTATATAATTTAAATTAAACATTTAATGATGATGATAATAACAATCAACAATAATAGAGTAACATTGAAAATATATGAATTTATTAATGAAAAAATTAGTTAAATATTTAAAATCTTATTTAGTGGCCTATAGCTAAGACAATAAAAAAAAAGTACTATTTCTTAAAGCCGTTGGATTTTAAGGAAAGCAGACAGTTTTTTTAAATATCTCAAACTAACCTAGCTACAATTTTAATCTCACTGCACATAATATGGGAACATTCAACATTGGTTACTATGTGTAGTATGTAAATAATACATTACTTAAGAGGACGTTACACTGACATTTGTTGCTCCGTCTTACAATTGCGTAACATAGTAAATTGTAAGCTCAACAGATTATGTTACGCACTTTTAAAACGGGGACAACCAATGTTGGCTTGACGTCCTCTTAAATGCTTTTAGATTAAATAGATATCAATTTGAATTAATATTAAAAATATTATTGTCACTTAAAAGTTGTGTGGAAGACAGATATTAAATCCTAATGAAAATTAATTTGAACTTTTAAAGGTAAATAGACAATTTAAATAGTTTTTAGAAAAATAATTAGGGACAATAGGTACATATTACTTAAAGACCACCTACCTACTGTTGTATTTAATAATCATACTATAAAAACCGTACATGTTGCTCGATATATTATACTAATTTTTACGTCTTAATACTTAAGTATCGAGGAGATGAAATGGGTAGGTACTTACTTCTGAGTGTGTTTTCACTTGAGTACATTCATAATAGGAAATCAGTAAAATAAACGACTTCAGCGATAGCAATTACTTTAAATCGTTCGTTGTACACGGTTGACAAAAATTAAAACCTAATCTTAAAAATTACCAAGACCATTCACGATCAAAATTCTTAATTCACAACAGGTGTCTGAAGTTTTAATTTTGAGAAACATTTATAGGTACAACATTACTTTGGAGTTCCGTTTTATAAGTCGATAAAGTTAGAGCGGATGGACGAACTTCGAATAAAGACAATAAAGTCTTGGTAGTCTTATGAGTTAAGACCAAAGATCAGATAATATTACTTATGGACTTATCATCATAAGTCCCGGTTTTGGCGCGATAAATACAAAACAAAAATGGTTGCCATGTTGCCCTGTACACCCCTGGGCCCTGGGGAATGGGGAATGGGAATTGGTCGCTGTCCACTGATAATAAAAAAAATTTTCCACTTCGAAAAAAAATAAATTCATTTCAACATTTTCTATGATTCTCTTACCGCCTACCGAGTACCGATTGTCAAGAAAACTGTTATACCTATGTCCTATAGTGTTATTCATATTTTATGTTTTGCAAAACGTAATTTCCTCAAAAATGAATGCGATACGACGCGCGACGTTGCCAAATTTAAACATACGGTCGATGCACATCTGAACAACGTTGTAAAATAGGTATATCGTTTTTATGATATCATTTTTAGACATTTTTATGTTCGCTTTGTACATTTCTTTGTACTGTTATTTATTTTTATTTTTAGATACTACTATAGTACCTACTGTAGTACCTATACTGTTTTAGTATTTAGTAATTTATATAAATTTATTATGTTTGCATTAAATTATTTACTCCTTCCGTGTCAGTTCGAAACAATTGAGTACTTGCTTGTTTAGTTGTTTAGTGGTTTGTGCCAGATGCACCAGACGCGCGATCGTTGGCCCTCGGCAAACGTCTTGAACACCATTTAACTGCTTTTAAATTTCAGTATAATGTTATACGATAAAGCCAAGACAAGCCATACCTATTCCTAAATTCAGTTCGAGTGAATCGACGGCATTAGTGTACATCATAATAAAATATTAAACCCAAAACGAGTGAGTATTTGGCTAGTCTCGACAATTTAAATGCCGATTAAAATGACGCACCGCATATACAAATAATATTATTATAATATAGTCATTTAATTTAATAGCAGTTATAGTCTAAAATTATCAATGCAAGACGTGTACCTCAATTTAAATTAAATATATATATATATATTATAGAATGTTACAGAAGTGGGAATATTAATTGTCAGATAACTTTGTATTTCGTTGATATTATGTCTTGTTGTGGTTGAGTAAACTTTACATTTTTTCCTTATCTTTAAATTCATTAATTTAACAACATCATGCTAAACTGAAGTGTACACATTTTTAATTGATATTTTATTTCTGCATCAATAACTAATAAGCGTATATATATATATTTTTTTTTTTGAGTACATCTAATTATAAAAATAAGTAGATAGTTACATCTTTCTTCGTTATAAACATGATGATTATTTATCTAATCGATATAGTGCATGTATTATTAGAATAATTCTATACCCAATTAATTTGTATAAAACTTCACCCCTCTACAAACTGTAAGTGTGGTAGATATCTAAATATCTCATAAAATTTTTATTTTAACCGGTTTTTACCCAACTACTTAATTCATATACTAAATTCTCTGATTAAATCTACCTATATTATTTTATAATTGTTTAGAAATATGGCTGAGCTGGAAAGTGAAGATAGTTCAGATGGTACATTAGTAATCGATGAACCGAATTATGATAATCAAACAATTGAAATATTAGACCATTCAGATTCAGACGTGGAAATTGTTGAATTAGATGATCATGTTGTAGATAACTCAGATGTGGAAATTGTTGAACTTGATAATGATATAGAAGATAATTCGGATGTGGAGATTGTTGAGTTAGACGATCATGTAAGAAATACTTCTACTTCTTTGAATCCTTCAGGTTTATCCACAAAAATCAGTTTAACATGTAAACCATGCTCTAGAATATTTAGGACTAACAATGATTTACTCAACCACATCAGAAAGTTTAAAGGAAGGATAGGAGGTTGTACCAATTTACCAAGAAATTTACCAAATAATACGATAGAAAAAAGAAAAACCACTGAAAAACCCGAATCTGAGCACTTAATCATTAAAAAGAAACGCGGCAGGCCACCAAAAAAGCATAATGTTAATGGACCTCAATTTCCTATACCTGTTCTTAAACCTGTTCCTAAAACTATTCCTCTATGTCGTCCTTCAATACCAGAATTAATACCAATAATCTTCAAGTCTGTTACTAGACCTACCATTGCAAAAATTAATAATAATAATTTACCATCTCTGCGACAATTATTAGTTGATGAAACTGAACCAGAATATCCGTGTACAATGTGTGGTGAAATATTTCGTCATAATATTGGCCTTATATGTCATTTAGATACTGAACACAAAAATGAAACAACTAATAAAGAAGACACAGATAAAAATAAAAAATTGGATGGAAAAAAGCGAATTATGAAGAAAAATCTTGTTAGCGAAAATAAGCAGATAGAAAATTATGAGCCCACATCAGATACCGTTGATTTAACACTAGTCCCAGATTTAAAAAAAGACAGTTTGATGAATCGAATGAAATCCTACGTGTATAGTCTCAACAAAGACCAAGCAATTTGTCTTCTATGCAATATAGACTTCAAGAATACCAGAAAAGCATTAGCTCATGTTGAAGATAAACATATAATGGATAAGATTGAATGTGGATATTGTAATATGAAATTTGTGTTTGAATTAAAACTAAGAAGTCATATGGCAAAAAGACATAAAATAATTGCTGTTTATAAATGTGATAAATGTTCAAAGATGATAAATAAAGAAGAATGTGATATACATTCAGAAAAATGTAAAGGAAAAGTGAATCCAACAATAATCAAAAGAGAAGAAGATAATATCTAACAGTTTATAAATTTAAATTATAGTGGTAAGTAACAATGTTAATCTAATACCAAAGTAAAAACATAATAAAAAGTAATCATTTAAAATATATACCTAGTCAAAATACTTAGAAAAACAATTATAACTATGCGTTGTTCCAAAAGAGAATATACCAGGCTGCGACCAGTTTCCGTCAGGCAGTGCACATCCCCCCACATAACAGAATAAGTGATCATATAGTGACCGGTAGAAAAAGTGCACAGAACTGATGTATTCTTTTTTGGAACGTAGAATATATATCTATCTTTTATTTGTACATATAAATGTGAAACCTTAGTGTATGAGTCCCAAAAGTAACTTATATAATTATATATATATATAATGTGTTAGATGAATGCCGAATGTTTTATTTTAGAATTAAGGGAAGTAAAGTATGTACCTAGTTGATTGTTTAGAGTTTTCATTTTTTATTTAAAGTCAGCATTTTACTTATGAAAAACTCAAGTTAGAAATTCTATGAAAATTAAGACAGCAAGATACCCATTTTCAGTCAATTTTATAGTAATAATACAGTAATTTTCAAGGGTTGTCAGTATTATTTTAAATAAAAAAAGAGTATTCAAATATATGTGTTGGTGAATGTTACTTAAACATAAGTGTTTTACAAAATTTTTCTGTAAGATAGTTATATATTTGGTTACTTAATTATTCAATCAGCATATCCGAGTGTCTTAATAATAATAACAATAGAGTAGTCTAACCTTAAGTTAAATGAATTGAATGTTTTTTTTTAATGTACGTGGATTAAAAAAATATACAATTTACCTAGTATCTAAGTAGATATTTACTTCAGATTTAACTCTGTAGGTACTATCAATTACTTAGGATGTCTAGGTAACTGAAATTTTGCTGATAATACTACTCAATTTAAATTAAATTATTAAATATTTACATAACTATGTTTAAGTACCTGCATAAGAATTTGTAAAAAACTAAAGTTAAACAACAAAAAGCTCACAAATATTTGGCTATAGTAGGATATTATTAATATTTTACTTAAGGTATTGAGTGATGTTATGTTTAGAATGTTTTTTTTGTGATAACCTTATTGGAAAACAGTAAATATGGTAGTCCATTTTGTAGATAACTAAATTAAATGAAATAATAACTAAGGAAACCATTCTTTGTTACTACTTGCTGTCATATTGTATACAAACTAAATAAACTGTATGTGTTGGTAATAATAGTATTATAAAACTAGCTAAAAAATTTATATAATCTAATTATATTAGAGCTTATGGGTAACATTACTTGGAGTGCTCAAATAAAAATTTTATATTATTTTATAAGCAATAAATAGGTAACTCAAAACCATAGACATTTAAATTTACAAATATTAGAAACAAAACATTGTTATTTGAATACATTTATGAATAATGATGAAAATGTTTCACATATGGTCAAATAATACATAATATTTTATAAATATAAAAATCTTATTTAAACTCCATTTATTATTTTAATAATTTTATCTCATAGAAAATAATGTTATGACATAACTTTTAGTTAAAAGACACCATTATGTATTATTTTTTTATTTGAGTTTTTATTAATGTTCACTAATATATATGTTCCTAATGTATTTATTTGTTTTATCCTACAAATGTATGTGATTTCAGTTTTATTAAAATTAAGCAGAAGTTAACAAAATTATCAGTTAAAACAATTCCACCAACATTTTGATACTTAGTAGGTAGTTTTATTTAAATAATGAGAATTTGTATTTTGTATGGAAGAGAGCACATTTATAAACTATTTAATTTTCTTAGAGATCATTAAAATAATCTGAAAAATCTATTGTTCATCAAGTGAGATATATTTTAAAAAGTCGTTTTTCTCATATTAATTGTCAAACGTTTGTGTACCTAAATATATCGAGTACTACCACTTGAAACATTTTTTAATTTCAATTATGATAGAAATACTGGCTCAATGATAAAAATGTTAATGATAATAACAATATATATATTTATATTGAACGCTGTGCTGTGTTAAGTCTTAATGCTGCCAGCCGCCAGGGCAACAAAAAAATGGCAACACTAGGTTATATAGAAGTAGGCAATTGTTTTCACGAGTATAGTACTACAAAATTGATATTAGTCAACTAAACTTTTGTTTAATTAGTAATTACATTTAAAACATAAATTTCGTTAAAAAAAAAATTGCCCATGACGCGGCATTAATTTAATTATATTCTATTGTTTATGTCATATTAATTTTCTGAAGGTTATTGTTTATCCGCCAACAATAAATATTAATAATATTATATAAATAAACACAAAAAAAAATATATATATGTAAATTAATAATATATAATACAACCATTTAAATTCAACAGGATTCGTCATTAATATTTTTTGGTTGGCAGTTTAATGTATTCAATATTTTGATGTAATTTTTGAAAGTCTAGAAAAATGTATTTTGATAATTAAATTGCACAAAATAATTTTTGTTTTTCCATTAATACATAGTGAGAAGTTTTTTTCTTTGATATAATGAAGTTTTATTTATTTTTAAGTTATATAAATTAGAAATTAAATACATTTTATTTACGCATGTTATTTGTAGATTTAACTTTTTAGTCATTATGTTACAATTTTAAATAATAACAGTTGATTAATTAAAAATATATGAATAAATATGTAAACAATTTAATTTATTAATCACCAAGTAGTTAATCAATACTTCAACAAAAAGACTAATACCAATAAATGTATTTATTTTATTTTTATTTAGTCAAATTATTTAGACTGATGTAATAGTTATTTAAATGCTTTTTATTTATTGTTTTATGTATTACATATTATGTATTTCAATTGTTTTGTTTTGTTAAAATTTACACGTATAATATAATTTATAATATTATATACTCCTATATTCAAATTTGTACACCTAGTCACATTTATTTATTTTTATTATTTTTTAAAAAGAATCTTATTTGTTGTACCTACCTATTTTATTTGTCTGAATAAAAAACAATCGTAAACACAAAATGTAATGTACTCATGTGTACATACCATCCACCAAGTTTAACCATGTTTAAAATAATAAAATATAGACCACAATAAATAATAAATGGTTGCTTATATTTTCTTATCTATAATTAAACAAAAAATACCAAATAGTAAAAATAGTATTCCAATGACAGTTCCTGAAAATAAAATGTTTATTATTGTAGAGTACAAAAAATACGAGTTTTAAAAGTAACAGTTCATCACAGATATTTAATTAATTAATATTTAAACAATATTCCTTTGAAATTTAAAATTAATTTTTTTTCAAAATACCCAATTAATGTTTATGAAGTTTATGTACTCAGATACATTAATAACGGTTTTAATAAAACACTATATAAAATACAAAACATAATTAATAGTATCAGTATATGACATTAATATTTTGTGATGCACCTAAATTGAAAGATTTTAAAATTTAAATTGTTGATTAACTTACGCAATTTTGGCTTTTCCTCTCCAATCAATGTGCCTACAATTGATGTACACACAAATGAAACTCCGTTAGCAATAGGAACAGCCAACGAAATGTCTAAAAGAAATTTATAAGTATCTTACTTTTGAGGTGCATTGTGCATATAATATCAAGTATCAACTAAATAATATAATAATATGACAAAGTCAATGAGTAAACTTCTTTTTCTTCTTACCTGAATATTTTAGAGTGAAATAGAACAATAGAGACCCAGATTGGTTGATAAGAAATGGTATCAAATACTAAAATAGAATATGATTTAATTTATTTTAAAGAGTTTTCCAGATTTTTATTATGTCCTCAAATAAATGATAAATCATAAGTGTATTGTGTAATACATATCGAGTACTCACATGCCAATTGGTTAAATGATCAATGACCTCTGAAATTATATTAAGTGTCTTATTTCTTTTTACTTTATTAGTCGCAGCTTTCAGAAATGGATTTGTGCTGCCCCATAGAATCCCGACAGTAAATAGTTGAAATATTGAGTCTATAACAAATTGTATTTTAATACATATTATTGCTTAAGTGTGAAAAAAGTTAGGATTAGGAATACAATAAATAATACCAAAATAATAAAATTAGAGTAGGTACGTCAGGCCCTCATACCCGATACCACTTCAAGTACCTCAGGGCTCAGGTTGCCACTCAATCTTAAATTTTTAACCTTAACGATTTATCATTTGCATTTGGTTTTAAGAAACGGTTCTGCGCATAGCTTCCGAGTTCATTGTAAAGTGTATACTACCAATAATGTTTTTAAAATTTAAAATGTAAAATGTTCATAAAAAAATCTGGGGAAGTCGCTCTACTGCGTATCTGAATAAGTGTCAAGTTCATCAATTGAGTATAAATTGTAATGGATATGTCAAATCTGAGTTAAAAGATACATCATAGAAAGTAGTATACGAAAAGCAATTCTGAGTGAAGACGATTTTATAATTAATGTACTCGTACATATATTGAGTATATAAGTAATTTATATTTTAATTAGTAATACATAAATATTGGTAAGTTGAACAAATTGTTGCAAAACGACCGTATAATATCTAAATATCTAATAGGTATCTAAAAATTTAGCTTGAGTTCAGTGGCGTGTTTAGGGGGTGGGCACGGTAGGCATGTGCCCACCCACATTTTTATACAAGTACTAGACTAGTGTATGTCCGATGTTCAATGAAAAATGAAAATATTATTTATAAATAGTTAGAAAAGAAATTGTTTTGATTCGGTATTTAATAAAAACGTATAGCACTATGAGTGAGTGAGTGACGTATATAACTATATAAGTACATTATACGTATTCTGATTATCAGAATTTATCAGTATTATAGTATTATTAATAATTTATTATAGTCAACGACAACGACACAACTTTGAATCAAATATGATGTTACTTCCAAAAAATGCCAAGTACCTACACATCAAATTTAATCCAAAACGATATTCTGGAATAAAAATATTAAAATTAGTCATTTAGAATAAAAATTTAAAATACTAAAACTTATTAATAGATCATAGTAAGAGGAGGGGTAAAAACTATTCTGAACTTAATTTTTGTGGCCCATTCACAAAAAAACTTCTGGACACTCCTTGAATCTTTTGAAATATCGGAAATTTCAAACGTTGATTATTCTGGATTTATTTGGAATTTAAAGCAGAAATCTTAAAATGTGGGCTGACCGATCCCTAATAGAAATTTTAACGAATTCAGATCAATTTTCAGAAATATTATCGCATTATTAGATCGATTGGTAGGATGGAACAAAAACAAAAAAAAAGCGGAATCGGTAAGTTGTGGATATAGATTGATTATAAATATCCTGCGTATATTGATAATACATCGATATGTTACCGGAAATGTTGACAATTTAGGAAATGACGACAATTCCTAAAAGCGGAAGGCAATGTTATCACCGCCTAGGAATTGTCATCATTTCCGTAGTTTATTAGGCAATGTTATCAGTAGGGCCCGGAATTTGATGATCTAAAAATATATAAAAAAAATGCATAAAATGACATTTATTAATTTATTTTTTTTTAAAAATGATATTAAAAATGTATATTTTACTGTAAAAATTGATAAATTTGTTTCGATACAAATTATAATGTTTAACTACGTTGCAAATCATAAAAAAAATTTTAAAAAGCTTAAATTACATAAATTAAAATGTTAAAAAAATACTTGTTTATTTATTGATTATTTAAGGTAGATTAATTAATAATTATGTTTGATAAAAGTAATATTTAAATAAGTCAGATTAAATTTAAAAAATGGGGCATCTTTGCGACTTTGCCTACTATCGTTAGGAAATGATAACATAATATACTAGGCGATGATATCATTTCCTTCCGATTTTAGGAATTGTCAACATTTACTAGGAATTGTCATCATTTCCTAAATGTCAACATTTCCGGTAACAGATACACTACTTATATTATGCATTTTTAATTATTATAATTAATAAAATATATATGTAATAAATATATAATATATTATATTATTATATAAGTATTGAATTGTACGTAGGTAATATATTGTTTGTCACACACTCACACCTGCACCGAAAGTTTGGTTTTCGATAGCGGTTGAAGCGTTCGAAAGCGTCCTTTTTCCGTCCAGGAGGCAGTAAAGTGGGAATCCCAAAAAGTGGCTGGCGGTAAAGTGAAATTCCCAAAAAGTGCCGGTCGCACATATCGTTATAGACTTGAAAAAAAATAGTATGTGTGGCTCGTGCGGGAAGGCCATCCAGTCTTGTGCGAAATGAAATTCGCAAAAGTATCGTCCCACAATATTATAATTGATAAAATTATAACACAAATATTGTGAAGAAGCAGGGTAAGTATTCATAAAATAAATTTATGGTTTTATTAAGCTAGCAATATTATATTTTTTGACTATGCAGGGAGAAAAAATGTGTAGGTTAGGTATTTTATTATAAAGGTGTTTTATACCCATGTCCCATACATTTATTTACCGAGTGTAAAAACTAAAAACACTGTACACTGGTATCCACAATATAAAATAAATACATAAAAAGTACCTACACAGTGCACATATAGTTTGTCAAAAATAATAACAATATTGTGATATTTTCTTACTAATATAATAAGTGACATATTAAATTAATCATACAAATATTCTACAGTAAAAAACGTATTCTATGTGGCCTGGTAATGATTTGAATGGCCTGCCAACATTTTGGCACCCATAAAAAAGTAGTTGAAACTTGAAATGACTCCCCTGCTTTACCTTTGCCGTGATTACATTTTTTTTGTGCCGCGTTTGGTATAGACTAGGGTATAACGCGATAGGATTTGAAAAAGCTCAATAAGATCTGCATATTATAATTATCATAATTTATAAATTATAACAATTTGATGACTTCAACATAAATTTTGATGATAAGAAATCGGAAACGTTTAAAACGTCTTTCCTTATGGACACATTCAATTTACATAATACGATGATTAACAATCCAGCAGAATCTACAAGACTAGAACGAGCGATGAGTGATGACACCACTATATCGTCATATCGATGCAGTATTTTCAAGATATTTGGAAAAAATTACATCACAAACATACGTATGATATTTCAGTTGTAGGCCTGTAATGTCGATTATTGAATATGATTAATATAATAGTTAGTGTTGAAAAATTTCATGAAATTTAAAAAAATGAAATATTTCGTGAAATATTTCATGAAATATTTCAAAATATGTGAAATATTTCAGTATTTTAATATATTTTGTTTTATTTTTAAATAAGTTTTATATTTACATATAATTGTCATAAATTACCTTCATCACTATATGGTACCTGTATGTATACCTAACCTTTGGTATTATACATTTAAATTGGTATTCAAAATTTTTAAATATTTTAATGTTTAAATGATACAAGTAGGTATACAATATTATACATGTATATTGTATACTTACTGAATTCTGACATTAGAATTTAGAACACTGAACATTGTGTTAAAAAAATAAATAAATTATGTTTTTATTTGTGTTAAAAAAAATTTCAATGTTTCACGTTTTTGTGAAATATTTCACAACTTAGTGAAATATTTCAAAATGAAATATTTCTCATACTTCAAACACTAATAATAGTAATTAAATAGTAATAATAAAAAATTTCATTTATTTTTAACATTTACTTTTATTTTGAATGGTTCCACTAAAATGTATTATTTGGATTTTGTAATCTATAATATTTGTTGGAAAAGAAACTTCGTTTCTACCGGGTGTCCCATGACAGCACTCACTTTTTTATTTTAGATTCTAAGCGGAGCAATAAATGTATTGATTTTACAACGATGAGTGTTTTTTTTTATTTTAGATTCTGAGCAGAGCAATGAATGTATTGATTCACAATGATGTGTTTTTTTTTTTGTCCACACAGTAAAAATGCTTAGATTTTCTTCAACAGTATTTGTTCTGATAGAATTGAATTTAGTTGGTACTTTGAGGGGTTAAAAGTAAAAAATTCCTTATAGTTTTGGAAAGCGCGGGACAAACCAACATACAAATTAAGGCAAACGGGAATTTTTACTCAAAATTGGTTTTTGACAAAATCGATTTTGGTTTTTGGTATAGCTCTAAAAAAAATAACCGTAGATACATGACATTTTCACTGGTTGTTTATATTATCATTTTCTATAAGCGATAAAATTTTGAACTTTTTACGGACATTTTCAGTTTCCAATATTTTTAGTTTTTTTTTTCTATGAATGTCAATACAATTTTGTTGGGTCAAAAATTATACTTATACATATTAACAAATAAACATTACAAACGTACCAAAGGTCCAAAATATTATGACAACAATATAACATAATTTGAATTTGGCGCTAAATATGTCAGACCAACGACTAATGAGCGCGAAGGTCGTATTAACTAGGTCTGGTATTTATCTATGCGTTTTATTTGAATGTACCGCCGCACGATATTCAAACGGCAGTCCATATAGGCTATACCTATAAACTGATGGTCAACGCTCAGTTTCCACACAGCCCTGCCATTGGTTAATCCTGACATCATAATTGAGAGAGAAAACACAATATAATATGAGAGAAAAATGTTTTGGGCTATGTTTTGCGCACTGTAGTCTGTAACGGCCCAAAACCTATCTTTTCTCTCTCAACAATCCTGGTGATTTAATGCTCTATACGCAAATGCGCTGTCCATTATTAGTTTATAGGTCTATGCGACTATGCCACGAATTTAGATATATCTTAATTCGTGGTCTATGCTCATAGGCCACCGGATGCCAAAATGATAGGCTGGCGTGAGTCTGTCGTGAAATAAGTACCTAATAAGTAATAACGAATAACGTGATATGCCAACGCATACATATATATAGTGATACCTAGGTATCAACTGATTTTCATTTCTTCGTAAAATCTAAAAGTCAATTAGTTTTACCAATGTTTTGCTACATCTCATAAAATAGTATGTACCTACCTACCTACTACCATACGCGCAAATGGGGAAGATTTGGCGGCCAAGGCGTCTCCTTATTCAATATTATAATAGTAGGGCTTCAGGCTTCAGCTTCCCTAAATCTCAAACGTAATTTGTGCCTATGCTACCTATACAAACATAATTTACGACCACTATACAAAAAAACATGCAAATACAAGAATACTCAAAGTCCAAACCCTAAATAATATAAGTTATGAAATTTATGAATAAATAATTATATTATTCCATTCTTGTGTATGTGTGGGGGGGGGGGTCGAGACCCAGGACCCCCTCCGTAAATACGCTGCTGTTCTGATACAAGTGATGACGCTAATATGAATCACAGATATCAGAATATGGTTAACATGTTTCTAAACACTTAACTTCCTCTTTGTCTACCAGTCGAACCATTCACACTATACACTCTGTTCGCCGTAAGTTTAGCCACAATTTTTTTTTTGAGTACGAGGAGTATGGTGAAAACTTTGATACAATACAGTTCACTACGATTAATACGTCAGTAGCTCTTTCCTGACTTCTCTGATAACAAAACCGATAATTTCTATCAACAATGATCTTCTTACTGGCTGCCTCAACAAATTTTCAAAATCACCTTGTCTTGGTGTCTTCACACTGACCACACTCGATCATATTATTGTATAGTGTTAAATGTTAATGATCTTACCACTCAAATGTACAAAAGTGTATAATACTATAGTATGTATGTAGGAACTTAACTAAAAAAAACAACAACGCATTGTTTCGAAGTTTGCCAATCTGTACAATTATGGTTGCAGAAGGGCAGACAAATAACTTATGTATATTTTTACAACAACAATAACGTTGAAAATTACAGGTAAATGGGGCGCAATTAACAACAGTAGACTACAACAAAGGCAGCATAGGTACAACGCGTTCGTTGCAGATCACCGGATCTTCTTCTCGGGGTCCTCGGCGGGCTTCCGGTCCCCGGCCAATTTCGCCCGCATCTCGTGGTCGGCCGCGTTCTGCGCACCCACCACTTCACCGAACTCCCGGTAGTTGGCGTTGATCAGCTCGCTGCGCTCTTCCGCGTCCAACCACACGTCGGTGACCGGCATGCTCTCGCCGTACAGGTGGATGTGGCGCGCGTGGGCCGTGGTCGCGTCGTCGTCCAACGCCGGTATGAACCGCGGTGGTATGAACAGACCGGCCGCGTGCCGGCCCTCGCTGATGATGAAGTTGTACGTGGCCAGGGCCGCGTCCACCGGCAGCACCTCGACCGTGCACCCGTACTGCCGGGCTGCGGCCCACACCACCTTGTCCAACTGTCGCCGGTTCAGGTGGTGCAGCTGGCGGTGATTGTCGTCGCGGCGGTTCCGCTGCGGCCCGTCGCCCAGGCCCAGCACGATGACGGCGGGCGCGGGTTCCAGGTGGAACAGCATCGACAGCGAGTCGACGCCCACGTCCCGGTCGTCGTTCACGCGCCAGGCCATTATCGAGTTGGCGAAGCACACGACCGGCCCGAGCACCACGAACCCGTTATTCAACCGGAAGCCGTACTGGCTATAAGCGGAAATCATGATGCCGTCCCGGATGTTGTTGTTGTTCAACATGGACACGTACGTCTTGCCGTCGTTTTCGTACGCGCCGACGGACCGGCGAGGCTGCTGTTGTGGCGACGGCGGAGCGAGACCGGGGCCGAAGATCCGCGAACGGGACAGCAGCAGCTTCCGGGCGACGTTTCTCAACGACATGGCAGTCGATCGATCGCGAAACGATAGGAGGGGAAATAAAAAAGGCTAAAAATTATAGACAAGCAATGATCGTACCTTCCATTATCGCTCGGTAACGATTATTCACGGTCCCGTTGGGGTGAGGGTTTCAGTGTCGATGGCCGCTCCGTAGAATCTCTTCGTGTATCTGAGGCGAAGACCGTCCCTGCGATCTCTAGTAGTAGTACTGGTACTCAGTTCCTCTGAAAACTCAAAAAAGTGATTTGTGTTTTTCGAATTTTAAATTGTGATTTTTCTCCTTATCAGTCACCACTCATCGAAAAATAGTATTATCATCGGCAGTTATCGCCACACTTCTGATACCAAGTAGTGTGACCGGAGGTGCGTTGCCTAAACGGCCAATCCACGGCCAATATGGTACCAATCACGTATTTGGCGTTGCCTAAACAGCCAGGCCGCTTGTCTCATGCGTTGCCTTGACGGCTTTTGTGTATCCTGGCCGTCGCTAAACCGGCCATCCCGTAGAGCAGAATCGTCGACGGCCTGTCGCTGATAAGATAATACTTTGTTGATAATGGCATAAATTTAATTAATTATCATTATCGAATTTTCGAAATATCGGAACATACGTAATATTTAGTAATAATAAATAATAAATAATGGCTCTACAATTTGTAAAGTTCATTCTTAATGGGAACAAACCCATCTATAATGATGACCCCAACTGCCCACATCAAGTGCTGTGTGAGGTCATAACCACAGGTAAATTAAGAAATTAGCAATATTAATTTAATATGTGCTCGTTCTAACAATATTCTGTTTAGACTAATATGTATTTTATCTTTCACTACAAAGTAGGTACTAAGTCCTTTGTTAACAACGGTCCGATACATTTTTAAGTACTTGTACTGCTATTACAAAAATGTTGAAATAGCAATAATTATATAATAAACAATTTATCCATATAAATCCTAACAAATTATTTTGAAAATGTTGTACCTATCACTTTTGTTTTGTATAAGTTTCTAATCCTAATCTGAAATCTATCATAACAACATTATATTCTATTCCTCCTATCATCCATTTCTTTCTTGTTATACGTAATAGAAAGTCAAAAAGAGATGGCATTTATTAATGTAGACATTGTGAAATTACTATATCGATCAAAAACAAGATATTAGTAATGAATAAGGACCCCAGACCAAGTTCAAATTTAATCATTAAATAAATTATAATTCATTAAAAAATTATTTAACATTTATTTCATCTCAATATTTTATGAAAATTGGTGAAAAACTGTAGATTTACATCCATTTTATGCCTTTAATTTTACATAGTAGATATATTTTTAAATTATGGCTGATTCTGCATGGTGTTGCTGGAGACTTATTATATAATGGCAGTGGCTTTATTATGTTATAAACTTCATTAACTATAAACTACACATTACTATTAACAGTAATTTGGATGGTTTTGACACGATATAAAAGATATACGATATAAGATTACTACAAAATTAAAAATTATTATATTAATAACTATTACGTACGTTTACACTGTTACGTCTTGAGAATAAATAGATAAAGAGAGAGAGAGAAATGAGAATGCGAGTACAAATAAAAATTAAAAATCAATGATCATAATATTATATTAATATCATTAATATAATATTACTACAAAGTCATGAATGCTGGTTGAGTACTTGAGTATAAAGGGTGTGTCTTCTGATAATTGATAATATTGATAAATATTAATCGCTGATAGCGGTTTTCGCGTTGCCTTCCAACAATCAAAAATTTGGCCGCATGTCGTTATCAAAATTAGATAAGCCGTACAGGCCATCGTCAGTCTGGCTGTTCAGGCAACGCACCTCGGATGGCATGATTGGTGCCCACGAGTCCTTATCATTTGTTGAGCATGTGCTTATCACTGCAAAAAAGAAACAAATTTCTTTATTATGATTTATCAATCATCAATGGACTACGAATTACTTGTCTACATGACTACATCGTGGCTTGTGAGTTTATAATTTACACTGCTTTAAATTTTAATAATTTGTGAGTTCTGAATTGTGAATCCACGGCACAAACAAACCACTACACCAGACATTTCAACTTCCTAAATCCTCTCCGAAAGTGGTAACTCGAAAATCAAAATGGTAAGTTGATTTTAATTTCGAGTGTTAATACCTAACTATTACTCGTTTATTTTTGCTAAACATTAGTTAACTCAGAATTGAATTATGATAATTAAAATAGGTACTTAGACAATTGTAGAAAAATATACTTATTATCATTTATTAATATTAATACACTGTGTAAGAACTAGATTCACTGGAGTATTATTGTATTAATATACAATTAAATTAACAAAATTATTAATTTTGATTTTGACATAAATAAATATTCAAGTTAAAAATAATAATAATGGACTTTTAGGCAGGCGACATAATTTTAATCTGTATATCTTATTAAATGTAGCATAGTGCAAGTGTGTCTTACTTAATATATTTGAAAAATTAAAGTTAAGCAATAAATAGTTATTTAGCATTGTATTTTCCCAAGGAAAGTTGCATTAACTAGTTATAAGAACAAAATACTTATCAACCACCTATTTTAATATTTCACGAGATGTATAGGTGTAGGTATCTTTAATATATTATTTTTATATTTTAAATTGTATTTGTTGTGTATGTATATTTAAAATTATATGTTAAATAATGTTGAGGTTGAATGAAACTTATAATCATAAATAACTAGGTAAATTAAGTCTTTTATTCAGTAAAATATTTTAAATTCCAGACAAAATCAAAATAATTTCAATTTTTGATTATAAATAATTTATTTTGAGTTGAGAATGTTTAAGAATAAAAATATAAAGTATTTTTAATAACATTTTACTGTTTAAATTTTCATAGCCAAAAAACAAAAAGAAATTTATTGAAAAGAAAAATTCTGTAACATTCCACGTGGTACACAGAAGTCAGCATGATCCACTTGTTACTGATGAAACAGCACCACAAAATGTTTTAGTACCTCAACAACCTACTCAATCAAAAGGAGTAAGTTTCTTTATAAATACTTGAATTTTTTCAGCTTTATAAAATATAATGCTTTATTTTTCAGAAAAAAAGCAAAGATGAAGAAGCTAAATACGGGATATATTTTGATGATGACTATGATTATTTACAACATCTAAAAGAATGCCGATCCAATGATTTTATATTGTTGCCGGCTCCTGCCAACCATAATAATGAAAAGGTACCTTACCTACAAACAATTTTTTTTATACTAATTTTATATTAAAACAAAATATATGAATTTGACACTTTTTTTATTTGTGTTATAAAGAAAGAAAAACCTAAAGTTATGTTACCCTCTTCAATATTTGAGTCTGAAGTCGAAGAAAAAGTGGGCTTGTTAAATAAAGCCGCTCCTCAATCTGGTAACATTCAATAAATCAGTAGAATATTAATAGGATTAATAATATAATAAATTAAATTGTGTAGGTTTGCGTTTGGATTTGGACCCAGATATTGTCGCTGCAATGGATGATGATTTTAATTTTGAAGATCCAGATAATGAATTGGAAGATGATTTTGTGATCAAAGCAAATCAACCTGGGTAAGTTATCTTATTGGTATTTTTAGATTTAAAACATAAATTCTATGATTATTGGGTTTCAGATTAGATGATGATATGAATGAATTAGAAGATATAGATGAAGAAAGTGATCATTATGATAGTGAGGCATACGATGATATTGGTAGCTTAAACAATGAAGATACGAAATCACGTTTTACAGATTACTCCATGTCCAGTTCTATTATAAGGCGAAATGATAATTTAAAACTAATTGATGATCAATTTGAACAAGTATTAAAAGTTTTACTTTTTAATAAGACATTAACTAAAACAGAAAATTAATGTGTTTTTTCATTAGATGTTTGCTGGTTATGATGATGTAGATATTGGAGCATTAGAAACTGAAGAAATTGAAGGTACATTGACAATGGAATCTGATTTGTTGAAAAAAGCTACTGAAGAATTTGAATTAAATATGAAAAGGGTAAAATAATATAACATTTTTGGTAAAAAGAAATTTTAGTTTTAAATTCATGTGTATTTTAGGATGAAATACCTACTGATAGAACAGCTGCATTGATTTTTGACAGCGATTCTGATCAAGAAGAACCTACCTATAAACTACCGGTTGATAATCAAGATGTAAAAAAATGGGATTGTGAGAGCATAATTTCTACATATTCTAATATTTACAATCGCCCTGCCCTTATCAAAGACCCACAAGTGTGTTAATTGCTTAAAACATATTTATTATTCAATATTACATTTTGGTAGAAGTATTGAAACTTATTGTTTTTATTACTTCGACAGTTAAATAGTTGATACTGTACAAAATAAATATATATTTATAATTCAATTTTAACAAATATAATTTAGATTCAGAAAATACGAATAAATCCTAGAACTGGTGTTCCAATATTACAACAAAGACTCACAGCTCATGCATTGAAATCCTTGGACAACAAAGATACACCAAAATCTGATTCTAGATCAGTAATATCAGCTCTATCTATGTTGTCAATAAGGCCAAGAGATGAGACACCTGAAGAAAGACTGAAGAGGAAAAAAGCACTCAAAGAATTTAGACAGGTGTGATTCTTTACTAAGTTTAAATATAATATGTGTTTAAAGAAATATATACTATTCTTCTTACATTTTTTATAGGAAAGAAGAGCAGAAAGGAAGGCAAACACTTTGGCATTTAAAGAACAGAAGAAAAAGATGGAAAAAGAATTAATCAACAAAAATGTTAACAAAACTGTACGTGTTGTATAAAAATAATATTCTGAGAAGTATCTTATCTGTTAATGTATATATGAAATAAAAAAATTTAAATCATTTATGAGTGGTTTATTAATTTATCGAAAAATACCTCAATAGTTGAATACTGTACAGTGAAAAGGTGTAAAACGTTTTTACATTTTTTAGATGCTTATTTATAGATGTCAAATTAATATGCATTTATAAATTAATAAACTACAACAGATTATTGAGAAATAAGCTTGAGTTTTGATCACGTATTAAGCTATACTTAAGTACATCTTAATTTCTGGTTTTGCTTACCTAAATAGACATTATGCTGTCTAATATTTTGTAAAATTCAATTAATTAATATGGCAAGATTAACAAACAAATTAAACCTCAAGGTTCAAGCGAACCACAATATAACCACATAATAATTAGTTAAATGTGTTATGTTTGTATCATGAAGCGAACAGAATATCTTTTCTAGGACAGTTGTATCTCGTTAATTTGAATATTTAAGTCCTGAACACAGTACATGAATCTTTTGTTTAAACGTGACACAAATTAAGATGTTATATTATAATATGTTTTCTAAGATAATACGTATATCATAATTTGTGATCTAAACTATTATTTTTTTTTTAGTTAAGAGCAAATACTTTAATACTTATTGTAGATTCGTAGGTTAGGCAAAAAATCTATAGTATATTTTGTCAATCAACTACTAAGCTACAACAAAAAGTAACAACTAAATCATTCAAAAATAGTATTGAGTATTCTAATTTCTAAATACTCAATCACGACAAAAAGTTGAAAACGCCAAACATTGATAACAGCATGAATGCATGATAAATAGTTATATCAGATAAATGATAATAAAGTTTAAAAAAAGTGCATTTCAGAGATTTTAAATAAAGTTATTAAAAATATTTTTTTAAATCTCTAGATGCACTAGGACTAGATAAATGTTGTAAAATTGATTGGCCATTGGGTAAAATCATATAATATCTTAATCGGTGGGAAAAATGATGGTATTCCTTTATTCTATGCCAGGCGAATGGATTAATCCTTGATTATCAAGGTCGTATCTGTGGAGGGGGGAATCCAGATCACCCCCTCCCAAGGAATTTCTTCACTATGTCTTATTTTTAGCCAAATACAATATACATGTTTTGGACCCACCCCCCAAAAAAAATTTCTGGATACCACCTTGCTATGATTCTATGATCCCTTGCTACAAATATTTAAATTATGATAATAATAGAATATGTTATACATTAATTGTAAAATAAATATTTGTGTTATTTGTATAATTGTTGTATGTATCATTCTGGATATATTAATAATTGAATGTTTCACCTTCGTGACATTGAGTACATAGCATAGGCAGAAATTAATTTCAGGGGGGAGGGGCTAAGCCCCCCTCCCATTTCCTTCAATGGTACATAGACACATGGCAAACAATATATTGTGTTTCTCAAAATGTTTTAAATTTTTAAAAATATATTTAATACATTATGGTTTACATATTCAATTATAAATACAAGTAATATAACTAATTGAGTACTGACACAAAACCTGAACATATATTGATAATATATATATATATATATTATATAATAAAACTTAAAAGTTATTTAAGTAAATATAACATAAAACATAAACTATTTCCAAGAATTGGCCTTGTGTTTAGGTAAAAATTGAAATCCATTAGGTACTGGTCCCAGTAACATTTTACTTATCTCTATCCAATCAGCACAATTGCCACTAGCCATTAATGTCTCTAAATCGTCCCTTCCTTTGTAATGTGGTGGTCTTTCATTTACTTTTTGAGGTACACGTTCTAAAATTCCTACAGGAATGTATCGATAACAAAATGACAGCCATTCCAATAAAAACTTTCTTGTTGTTTCCACACCTCGAGTATCACTGCCCCAATGTTCAAGACCATATTTTACATATTTTTTTAAAATTTCTAATCGTTCGTTACTGCTTATATCCCAATGACGATTTTCTTTAAGCTCTTTAAATATCCAAGGCTTTATCAAAGCTCCCCTGCCAATCATAGCACCTGTTATATCTGGAAATTGCAGTTTTGAATCTACATAATCTTCATAAGACATTATATCTCCACTGCTAAATACTTGTATTGGACTTGCTAATTTTGCACATTCATTAACATAATTCCAATCAGCCATTTTTGTATACCTTTGATCTCTTGATCTTCCGTGAACTGTTATAAGAGATACTCCACTATCTTTGAACATAGGTATTAAATCGTGTGCAACATTTTGATCTTTATTGACACCTGAGCGAGTTTTTACTGTAAGAGGTACATCAAGTACAGTTCTCATACTTTTCAAACAGACTTCTAATTTTTTACTCCTAAGTAATAAACCACTACCGGCTCCTTGTTTATAAATTTGATCTAACGGACACCCTAAATTCAAGTCTAAGAAATCCATGTCTACGTTTTCTTGTAGGACCTGTGCACTTTTAGCCAACATATATGGATTATTACCACATACTTGAATACCGAATATATCTTCTGTTTCGTGTCTTTTAGTCAATGCCCATTCTTGATTATGTCCTTGTAACAAACTTGATGATAGAACCATTTCACTGCAGGTTATATCAGCACCAAACTCTTTACAAATTCTACGAAAAGGTAAATTACCAACTGTGGTTAAAGGGGCCAAGTATAGTTTATTTTTCCAATTTATCTTTTTAGGACTTTCTTCAATTAAAGGCCCTAGATCTTTATCATTATCAATTTTTTTAACAGCTTCTTCACTTTTTGCGAAATTGTATAATTTTTTTCGTAATTTTAACATATTTTCTTTACTTAAGGTTCTACAATTAGCTTCACTTTTAATCCACATTTCATATTTGGTTTGGTCAATAATATTTTTGCCACTTTCAATATGGCTACTCCCATATCTACAGGTCAGTCCTCTAGGACAACGACCCTTAATAGAATATACATAACATGTTTTGTCAATATCATCAGGTTTTTTATCTAAGTACTCAGTGACATTGTGTAAGAATTTACATTTATCATATATACAAGAATCTTTTTCTGAACCATCGACAAGATTTGAGCATAAATTTTCTTGTGGGATTTGATAGTAAGTAGAATTTCTAGATTTATTTTGACCTTTTAATACACTCTTAGAACACTTCTGCTTTTTAGAAGGCGGTTCATCTTCATTAAGTTGGCTTTTATCTGATTCTGAAATACAATTTATTGCCAACTTGGGCACATGTCTTTCAATGATATATTCTTTTTTTATACATGCAATTCCCTTATTTTCTTCTTCTTTTACAATTGATGTAACAATGGTATCAACTTTTTCTTCTTCTTTTACAATTGATGTAACAATGGTATCAACTGTAGGATTTGTTTTTTCATTCAAACTCAATAAGTCTTCATTGGCGGATGACATTTTAAAATACCTAAAAAAGAAACACAAATGTAGAATTATTAATAATTTAAATTGTTATCCAGGTTTATAATTTTGGTAGAAAAATTCTACCCAGTTAACAAAGAATTTTTATAATTATTATATTATATAAATAATAAAATTTAATTTATTTTAAAATCGTATGATTTTATTTTAATTTGGAAACTAATTTACACATTATTTGGTAGTCAAGTATTAAATGATAGATTTAAAGTTATTACTTTAAAACTTAAATTACTGATACTCATCATGTATTCATCATAGTTAATACATTTATGTTTGTTCTATGAAATATATAAATTAGTAAATAAGTTAGTTAATTATTCAAACAAATATTTGTGACAACTACATTTGAGAGAAAAATAAATAACTTAATGTTTATAGGTAGGTATATTATAAGATTATTAACTTAGTTACCTGTTAAATTTGTAAGATGGGTAAATTACACTATAATACTACAACGATTCAAATCTCAAATGGTTATAGAATATTGTAATTTTTGAAGTTCAATTTTTTCAATTTTTTTGAAGACTGAAAGACGAGTGTGAAAATTAAACTGGAGTTTTTGAACGTAACCAACAAATAAAAAATTTTAATTGATAATTTATCAGTGATAATGTATTGATTTTTGTTTTTTAAACTGTTTGTTTGATAACGATTTGTTTTTATTGCATCACTGTATAGTGTTCGTGAAATGTTATTGGTGCACCTGGCGATAATGTGGAATTTAAACTGGGAAATGTTTTCCTCCGCGATTTTTACGAATTATATAAATTTACGAATCATTTCTTTTTTGATTCTGCATTATTATTTCCAATACGTACATCCATCGCTTGCTATTTATTTCATCATCGTACAACACTAACCATGGAAATAACGTAAGTACATTTAAAGCACACAGGTAATTGACGTTTCGGAACGTTATGGAATTCATTCAAACGACAATTGATACAGTTGTTTGCGCCATTTCCTTTCAAATACTAATTCGTTCAAATATATTGACGAATACTGAATTCAAAATGTTTCTCTGGTTCATCCTTTATGCCAATTCTAATAACCGATAACGAGTTCTATGATATCAGTTGAACAAAACTTATACTATTTAAACTTAGGTAAGTGTTTCTGGTTCATACTTCTCCCTAATAACTTTCATTATAAACTTAAATTTACGAGATATTGGTGAAATATTGTATTGTATTTGCTTGTATTGTGAAACTGAAAATTAAATTTCATAAACTTTGATAAATTACAATTGTATACGTATAATTTGACCTGATTATAGTACCAATGCCGTAAATAAACTTTTAAGATGTGGCAAAGTTCTGAATATATTATATTGATATTTCACACCTTATGATATGAACTATACAAGTAATTTCAATTTACTTATCAAGTATAATACAGTATCCATTAGAGTACCTAGAATTTTGAGAAAAATGTCTTCAAATTTATAATTTACCTTTGTAATATATATTCAAACCAATTATATCGACTACTTTGATAATCACATCTAATGTTAAAGTCCATTGTATTCTAAACTTGTTATGATAAATAATTATTTATGGATAATGTATCTTCTAAATAATTTTGTAGCCTATTCCTTATGATTGAAATTCAATCAATTCATTTTTTTTTATTATGTACCTATTCGTATTACATGCAAATTAATTTCATGTGGTTAATTTTTAAATATTAAGTTTTGTTCTTTTATTAAATTCTATTATCCGGCTCTTTATTTTTTGAATACCTAATGTAAGTTTTGTTATAATAAAATTAGAAATTATTAGTTAAAATGTTCATACATTTATAGCCTTTGCCCTAGTTAGATTCTGTTCGGATATGAAAATGTACATACTTAAGCAAATTTATATAACTCACTAATCTCCAAAATATTACATATTAATTTTGAGAAATCTAATGTATTTGAAAATATAAAATAGTTGAAAAACTGGCTACAATATAGGTAATATGAATAATTTAATGTATTAGGTACCTACTTGTATTATACATTTTAAATTTGTATCTTTTCCAAATATTTGTCTTTTATAAAACAATAACTACTACTCGTAATTATTTTCCCAATTTTTTTGATTAAATCTGTATGATTTGTTAAGAATGAAAAACTGATATTCAAAGGTGTTATAAGTTATAGTTACCTGATCAGATATTTTTGTCTGTCTTATACTTACTAAATAGCAAAAAAAAAAATATATAAACTAATTGAAAATTTTAATCAACTTAGAAGCAATGACCATTACATTCAATTACATTCAAACATTCATTAATTTCTATAAAATGTATGAAATGCACTGCCAATATAAATAGAACATTACCATTGGTGAAATATGCATCTTATGGCTCTATTGCTGTTTTAATATTATTTTTATAGTTGTCTTATTAACTTATTTCTCAAATATTTAATAGTATTATTTTTATTTTTTTTTCAGGTTATGGGAAAACTGCAATTTGTTAAACTGTCGATACGTATTCATTTGAAAAATTTTCCTTGATACAAACCTTTAATAAGCACAGAATTTATATTAAATTTAGATATTTGTTAATAGTTATTAAATAAATTAAAAATGGATTCAGATAGTAGTGATATGGAAATGGAGGACGAGTGTCGCCTAACAAAATTATGTCCAGCTGTTTTAGGTTTGCAGCCAGTAAATAAAAGAAATACTCCTAAAGTTATAGAATCGTCAAATGCAGGAAAAGATAAATTAAACAGAAGGGGTATGCCCGCTCGGATAAGGAAAAAAAATAAATTATTTTTTGATGAAGAAGTATTCAACACATCTAAAAATCCATCCGTGAAACAGGAACGCATGATGTATATAAATTCTCCTAAAAAACAAACACCGAAAAAAATTGTTGAATCTAAATTAGAACCAAAAACACCAAAAACACCTAAACAAGAAAAAATTGTCAATCAAAAATTACAAACTCCAAAAGTTGCTGTCAAAACAACACCTACAATAAAACTTAAGACTCCAAATGTGAAAACTCCTATTAAAAGTGCTTCTAAAAAATCTACTGAAAATGGTGTAGCTAAACCGAAAACTATAAAACTTGAAACTCCTAAAAACATAGTGTCGACATCCAAACCAAAATCTGATTCTTTGGAACGTAAACGTTGTCAAAATGTTGGATTAAGACTTAGGAAAATTTTTCAATTACCAAAAGCTAAGAACTGGATATATTATGAGTGGTTTTATAGCAATATAGATAAACCTCTTTTATATGAATCTGATTTTATGATGTGTGTACAAGACTTCTTTCCCTCATTTAAAATTAAAACGATGACTAGAACTGAATGGTGTATGTTACGGAGGATGATGGGTAAACCTCGAAGATGCTCTCAAAATTTCTTTGACGAAGAAATTAGAGAGTTGGATAGAAGAAGAAGAAAAATAAGATTGTTACAACAAAGGAAAGCTAGAGACGAATTGTTATTTAAAGATATACCAGACGAAATACCTTTACAACTTACTGTTGGTACTAAAGTAACTGCAATGTTAAGGAATAACACTGAAGATGGTCTATTTAATGGAACTATTGAAGCTTTAGATGTTTCTAACAATACTTATAGAATACATTTTGATAAGCCTGGCTTAGGTACACACTCAGTCCTTGATTATGAAGTATGCTCCAATCAACCTCCAGAAACTATTTCTAAAAATGTGTTGTTACAAATGTGTCGACCACGTGTACCTTACCATAATCGTTCAATATCACCTGAAACTAAAGTAGATTTACTTAAAACCGATCAGAATACAATTGCACAATATTCAATGAAACTTTTAGAGTCTACTGTGAAATTCAGAAAAATTTTGACGGCTAAAAAGCAATATGTACAAACATTACGTAACATGAATTCTGAAGCTGAAAGAATGGTTTTATACAATGAAGATATAACACCAGAATTTCAGAGTCGGTATGCTAAAATTGTTTTAGATTTGGATAATTTAAATCTACATTTAACATCAGTAATGTGTGTGCTTAGTGAAGAAATTAAAGTTTTAGCACCTGAAGAAGCTGAAACATGGCCATTGATCACGGATTATTTGCAAAATCAGTCATTTGATGAAGCTGAACAGATGATTGAGCATAACAAAGAAGTAACTGATTCCCGTTTTATGTCTGATGACCAGCCCATGTTAGCTTTAATTAAAGATTTATTAGCTTTAATGCTTCAGGTGAAGACATTGACTGAAAATGAACCTACTGCATATGAATTGGATGCTTTAAAAAGAACAATGGTTGAAATAAAACTTAAACTTAGTCAATCTAATCAAAAATCTTTTGAAAATTGTGTGGAAATTCATATGCAGCAAATTCAATCTAGCTTAGATACTTTTCATACTTTATCCTCATCTAATAGAAAATAACATTGAAATATTTGTTAAACTATATTCAACAAATATTTTTTAAAAGGTAAATAATAATGTTATGAATACAAAGGAGATTGATTATTGATATATATGTATGGATTTAAATGGAAGTAACAACACTTAAACCGGATTATTGGTCAATGCCATTTTTTAAGTACCTATATTTTAATCAACCTAATCTTACATAACCAATAATTTTAAATTATTTATACTCAAATAAAATAATAAATATACTAATATCAATGAGGTCTTATTTTATCTAAATCGGAAATCAAATTTTATTTAAAGATAACACAATTAAAATGTTCATTATTATACATTCAGAATATTCTTTATGATACAACAAATTTGTGTGATGTAGGATATAAGTTAAATTTAAGTAAATTAGGTTTATAATGTTTTTGATAATTGCTTAATGATTCTTAAAAATGCTGGTATACTGTTCAATAATTTATAACTAAAATATCTAATAATTGGAAAATAAATTTGTTTCAAATTGTTGATCTCCTTTTAATTAATAACATTATTTTGAATGCAAAATTAATATGTTTTATACAATTTTATTATGTATATTTTTTTTTCTGTGTT